TAAAACAGATACAGAAAAAAAAGGTAAAAAGGTTGTACTGGGTATTATTTTATACTTTGTCATTATATTTACTTATGTGAAAATGGGTGTATATTGATTATTGTATGGCTAATAAATTCGCGGTCAAATATTGTTAAAATACATAATTAACATATAAATTGACTTGTTCCCTGGTGATATTCCTCGTTGAATAATAATGCAAATTTATCATACATTAGTTTTAGCCTTTGCCGCTAGTATGCATATTTCAATTATATATTAAAAAATCGTTGATTTAAGTTGGATGATGGATATAAAAGGTTCTTTAACCTCAGTGAAAGGAAGATAAACTTAAGAGCATGATAATTGAATAATTAATACTTTGGAGTAGATAATCTTGGGCCGTGGGCTTCAAGGGCACAGGCGCTAATTAAAGATTTAAGTTGCCGCCTGGTAGATGCCGGTGAGCCCAGAGCTGGTGCTTTCCTCGCTCAACGAATAAGTATCGGAATACAGCGAGGAAATGCATTAAAGGCACACTGCCGCAGGCACTTTTTAAATTTGTTTTAGTTTTTATTTATCCATTATTAATTATTATGATTATGTAGGTTAAAGCTGTCTACACAATGTACCGAAGTTCGCCGTAAGTTCGCACGAACCTGCTATGTATACTTTCGGCGGGATGAACCCTGCGGCTTGTTGCGTTTCACGAGCTGTCAGAATTGCTAATTGCGTCACTAAGTCGGGCGCAGCCGTCCGAAATCGTTAAAAGCAAGGGGGGCTTTCCAAAGTTTATGTGCCGCCGGGCCAGCAGGTACTTTAGCATACATTGTGTAGACAGCTTAAGAATATTTATTTACACTTTGTTGCAAGAAATACAGTACAATTAGCTTTCGAGCGATCTCTTTCAGGCAACTACTGAAGGATTTTTTAAATTAAATAAGGTCAGCGCAAAAAGTGCGTAAATACATAAATCTATTGGATTTTCACGTACCGAAGTATGGCTCAATGTCGTGTATCAAACATCAGTTTCAAGAGCGGTCAAACAATTTTTCTGTATGAAGACATTTGATATACGACTTAGAAAAACCTTAGTGTTGTGACTAAAAGTGTAACTCGTGTATGTCATGACTAAGTTTCTGGCATGCGAGTCATGGCAGTAAATGTAAAATTAGAAGCATTTAGGATTACATGTATTTCTTTATTGACGTTCATAAGTGTACAATACAATGTAAATCTAAATGAAACCTAAATTAATAAATGATTTTGACTTTTTACATACTTAGTGCTTAATTCTGAATTTTAAGTTGTAGGGTACTTACCACAAAAGCATAAAACATTCTAAATTTAAATATTAAAATGAATAGAGAATAAAACAGATTTGTCTAATTGGCTACGATTCTCTAATTACATTACGAGAAATGGTCCTTCAGTCAATAACCAATTTGTAATGTACCCTTAACAGAAATTACAATCAGAATTCCCCTGAGCTTAATTGTGATATATCTTTATAATTTGCTTCGGCAACCCTCGCGAGGGTAGCTACACAAAGAAATTGGTAACTTAATAACTATAGAGTTTTTAACTTGCGGTTTTGGTAGCGATGAGGGAAGGGTTCATTACTGGATAATTGGCCTTATAAAACATGGACAAAATTTTTTGCCTATTCCGATTTTCTTACATGGCTTTAGTCGCTTTATGATATATTTCCTGCCATAATATGCGAAATTTCATACAAAAAAGAAAATGATATAATATGTTGCTAAGCTTAAAACTCGAAATAGGCTGGACCAATTCGAGTATTTTCTTATTTACAATTATTATTACAATTTATCAATTTTTCTGGCAGCTACCTCGGACAAAGAATTAGTCTAGGTATTCAAAGGGGGAACGCCTGCAAGTATCTTCGGAACCTTGCCTAAAGGGACTCCTTTTAATAATATATTTTATTTATTTATTTCCACTTCGTTGCAAATAAAAGAAACACAATACATAAAAATTATAAGGGATGCAACGGGCGGCCTTATGGCTAATAAACGATCTCTTCCAGGCAACCCTAGTTAAAGAGAAAAACTAAAAAAAAGAAACATGATGCGTGAGAGAAGTGCAGAACCAAATGTTATATAAAAAAAAATATATATATAACCTTATTCTAAAGTAATACAAAAGAAAATATTAATAACAGACTAAAAACTTAAAAGCTAATCTGACAAATTCATGAACAGCAATAGTGATGCAAAAGGAAACATAAGAATTATACAAGTCACGATTGATCAGGATAGGATAAGGTTAATAAATTATTATACAGAACAGTTTTAAAAGATGACAGAGAGGTAGCCAATCGTACGGAGTCAGGCAGCCTATTCCACAACTTAATGGCGGAGATCGTAAATGAATTGCCTAAGAAGGATTTTAGTTATTATATGTTAAGGTTAGTTATTTATTTCAATGTATATGTGAATTTATCTATAATTATACAGTATTTACAATTTTCTTAACCTACATAGTAATAATAAAAAGAAAATTAAAAAGTTTGGTCCCTATGGCAGTCCTTAGGTATTTTTTAAAAGCGATCTTTATGTGGTAGCATAGCAAAATGTAACTGAAAAGGTAGGCTAAGTAAAACAACCATATTAAGGCGAAACGAAGATCGTGGGGGCAGCTAGTTCTAAATATAATTCGCTTTCGCTTTTCTTTTAAGAAAATTGTAAATACTGTATATTTGATTGTTATGATTACTATTAAGTCACATTCGCCTTAAATTCAACGTTTTTGGAAGTTATACTTCTTTTGGCGCGTTAGGGATAAATTATGGAAAAAAAATTTATGAAGCGCGCGCACACCGTTACAAAAATCCGACACCCTGACGTTAGCTATAGTCAACATTTTAGTTTCTTCTATTGTCGTTTGCATATTCTATGGGCTTCATACTTTCGATTGGTATAGAATTTATCTAATAATCATACCGGTGAAATGTTTAAAACAATATTTTTTTTTAATTAAACATACTCTGGACTGAAATTTGCTAGGATTATATTTATTGACATATTAAATTAAATATAAAATACGTTTCATTAAATAAGCATCTCGGTGAAGGTCGTTGTATATCGGGATCTTATACTATGTCTTTTTTCTACAAACGTAGAATATAATTTTTAAAAAGATTTTTATCTTGTTACGCCAAAGAAGTATAACTTATAACGCGTGTACATAAGTACACACACGTTTTTTTTAAAGTTTCAACAAACCATAAGAGAAAATAGCATCAACATTTAATGGAAGCGCCCTACTGCGCTTACGCTCTTAAGAGGAAAATATTATTGATAAAAATTTCGCCCTTCAATCAAAAGGTCTTCAAATTTTGATCAAATGTCAGATATAATAAAACACATCTAGATATCGCATACCATATAATGACGACAATTCCTTAAATAGGAATAGAACAGGAAATATGTGGAGATTCCTTAATTTGTACTTTATCAATGAATTCACGTAAATAAAGGTTTTCTATGAAAGTTATACGACACATTTTTAGTAAATAGGTTTTGCTCTATAGTTATCAGATAACTTTCAGAATGTGTTTAAAATGTCATTCTCGTGTCAAATCTTAAAAAATAACTAATATACTGTGTTAAGTCTATACAACGTCACTGAAGGGTTTGTGCATTTTATGGCGTTACAGAGACTTGCCGTTACATGGAGAGAAGAAAAATCAGAATTAGAAAAATAACTACTAGTGTTAGGTACATAAAAAGAATCTTATTTGAATGCTATTGTGTATAGTCTTTTATTTTTGTCTGATGTCTTGCTGCACCACCAATGAACCAACTATAAAATCTTTATTATTCTTCCAGAAGTCGAACCTTCGGTATACGCCATGTGTCTACTGTATACAGTTATCCCACTAACGCGGACCGCGTTATAGGAAGTCGCGTTCTAGGAGTATTCTCTTTAAACCGTTTTTTTATAAAATTACAAAACTAGGAACACGAATTTAATAAAGTTCTTTAGTTTAATTTTACAACACAATTGAAACAGGTGCAAAGCTACGCAGAACTAATAATGAACTTGACAAATCAATATATATATTTCACACTATAGAAATATAACTTAAGAAATCTCCGCCTTATTATTTATTGTATTATGTTTTTAAAATCATGAAAATATTATTATATGTCTCCATGTATTTCTCTGTCCGATATAACGTTGATTGCATGAAGTCATACTTGCGTACGTCAATTGTATCTTGTTATTACGTTTCCACAAATTCGAGTACTTATCCTTGAGTTCGTCAGGATAAAGTATTTTTAGGAACGAATTGGAATTTTCGTATCGCTTTAACACGTAGGATATACAACGCAACCGTGGATGGTGAAATCGGATTGGGTATGTCATACCTGGACCAAATCCAGGAGGTACTAGACACAAGGTACCCATAACCGACGCATGGTGTGTCAAAAGTCAAAAATTATTTATTCATATAGGTAACACAATGTACACTTATAAACGTCAAAAAAGAAATATACATTATATGCTTCTAATTTTACATTAACTGCCAGTTCTCAAATGTCAAGTGGATGAAGATAGAGAGGTAGGGACCGTAGGAAGTGAAGATCCGTGGTCTGCCTATCGCTTCGAGAAAAAGGCGTGATTATAAAAATAAAATATTGCTTTAATTTATAAAGCGCTGCCAGTGCTGAGTTATTAAATTTCTAATCTATTGTTTTAAGTGCAACTTCCTTAAAATTTCCTGGTATGATAGAGTAAGCCTATTGTGAGAAATGTTGAAGATTAATCGTAGTTCGTCTCTGTCTGTCAAATTGTGCAGACGCTATGATAAAAGAGATCAGCTAGCTAAAGTTGCCAAAACTGTGTTAATTGCATTTCTTCAGCTAGTGCTTCATGACGGGTGTAATCACAGCCGACACCAATTGTCAACATTAGAAATCTCACGAGATTCTTAGCAATATCCATCTCTTTTCTCCTTCCGCATCCTGATATTTCATATTAAATACCTCTGTATGTTAATTAAACCTAAAGTCAACGAAACAACAGTATTAAAACAGGTAATTCGAAATACCTAGATCCCGGAATGTGAGATTGCATTTCTGTCTTGAACAATTTTCAGTTTATTTTCTAGCACTAGTGGATTTTTCGTTTATTATTTCCGTTTTCTATAACGGACTAGGGACAAGGCCCGACTGTGTGCGTTTACAATCTAAGTGTAACGTAATTCAGAAACGTCAGAATTTTGACTAACGGGACTCCCACTCCATAAAGATAAACGGAAAGAAAAAATAAATGTGAAAAAGTATCACATTTATTTACTTGTCTATTTGTTGGCCTAGTGGCATTAGCGTGCGACTCTCATCCTTGAGGTCGTAGGTTCGATCCCCGGCTGGTGCACACCAATGGACTTTCTATCGATGTGCGCATTTAACCTTCGCTCTAACGGTGAAGCAAAACATCGTGCGGAAACCAGATTGCCTGCCTATTAGATTGACAAATGATCTTGAAACGGATACAGAAATTTGAGGCCCAGACCTAAAAAGGTTTCAGCGCCACATTTTATTTTTTATTACTCTTGCAAAATCACATTTTTAACCTAAATTATACTGTAATCTATCTAACCTAATAAGTTGCAAACTAACAACCCATAAACACAACAGGAACACGGCAGTATTAAGTTTGGTCATTATGTCAGAAAGAAGAGTTTATATAAGAAAAAAATAATTTAATGAAATATAAGTTTCGTTAAATGGAAATAATGATGTACAAAGCACTAATGCTATTTAGATTCCATCGATTGTATCACTCGGTCCAGCGCACCGGGTTGAACCGGTGCAATTCGGTACAATCCGGTTATTCTGGTTCAAAGCAATTCTCGAATATTCGAAACTAGAACGTTTTTCGTACAAAGGTACTAAGCTATGTAAATAGACATTTTAGTTGAATATTTCGTACGTAGCTTTAAATATTCTTTTAAATCACATAATTTGTTATTGAATTGTCGAACTGTCGAACTAGACTAAAAATAGCTAATTTTAATTTGTAAACACAATAAATGATAATATATATATCCAATGCCTTCAAACTAAAGGTAGGGATTTAGGAACAAGATTTGGCCACAGTCTGGTACATCACAAATGTAATGTATATGAACATACGAAAGTATTTACACATAACTTCGTAGTTTTATCTAAGAAAGAGATTTACTTTCGTCATCAAACCCAAAGATACTAAACAACTATTGATTCCAGCGCCTGTATTCTGTAACTTCCAATAGCTTTACCGATTCCGACGCTTTTGTATGTTCGATGTAATTTTCTCAATATCTGTAGCGAGGTCGCAACCTTCGGATCGCGCCAAACAATAACTCCTTCAAGCATGGAAGCTGTTGGAAGTTACAGAATAAGAGCCCAGGTTTTTTGATTAAGTACCTTATTAGTATCCTCATACTACATATTTTATTGCTTAACCCTTCAAAGAAAAAGCGTGCCAATTCTTTGCCGAGCCCTCTGGCACATTGAGTGTATCACTTAACATCAGGTGAGCCTCCTGCCCGATTGCTGTTGTACTAAAAATAAAACCTCTCAACGTAAAGTGTATATATGTGATTTATTTATTATTTCAGGTCAAACTGTTGAGATCACCCCACGAGAGGCCGTGAGAAGAGTAGGGGATGACCTCACAGTACTCTGCAAAGTCTCATACCCAATTGACTCTTGCCGGTAAGGTTTCATTAATTTCTAATATATTGTTTTAAGTAAAACTGCCTTTGTGTTAATATTTCCTGAAATGATATTGTAGATTAATCCTTATTTTTTATAAAAGAAATTGGTCTAATTTCATTTTAAATAAAGTATTCTTTCTTCTCTTTCTGTCAAATTGTGTAGACGCTATGTTAAAAGAGATGAGCTAGCTAAAGTGTCCAAAACGGTGGAATATGGATGTCTTCAGCTTTATCGTTAGTGCTTCATGACGATTTTAGAAGACGTTGTGATGACGGCCGAACATGACCAATTTCATGTCAACGTTAGAAATATTACAATATTCTTAGTAATATACATCTTTTATCCTTCCGCATCCTGTCATCTGCTATGATAGCAGCAGGAGCATTAAGTTCCTCTTTATGTAAATTAAATTCAAAGTCGAAACGAAACTACGGTGCAGGGTAATATAACTGAATGTTTTTTTTGTAAAATGACAAATCGATATCATCCAGAAATTAATAATTCAACTTAAAAATAGTCGTTTTAGTGACTTGTGTAACCTTCTTACTGTCAAAATGATTTTATGCAGTTTGGGCAGTTCCAGGAAAGATCGTTCGTAGTTTAAAACTTTTAAAGTTGTGTCACACTTGCAATTATTACATTAATGTATAATGTAAAACTAATAAGCTAATGTCATGTTTCAGGATGACAGTTGGTTCGACGCCCTATAGATTGATACCAAGTCAACAGGATGAAGAAGTCGTCTACTCAGGGCAGGGGTTGCAGGTAAGGAAAATTGTTATGATTTCCTTATCGTAAAACTAATGGTGCTGCAGGCGAATCCTATGAATACGGGACTACGAAATTCACCAATAAATTGATCCTGACCCAACTCCGCATAAAGACTGTATGCCGGCAGCCATTATATCATATTTCGGCCATATGCGCAGAGGCGATGAGTAACTTGGAGAAACTGATCGTGGTTGGTAACTCAGAAGGCAAAAGCTGGAAGTTCACCAACCAGATCGACCGATCTAGTGAAAGACTCATCGTCCTCAAAACTATACACTGTTATAAGAGAGGCGCTGGACAGAAACCGATGGGAACAGATTGTCCGCTCCATATGTTTCCTTGTTGACCATGACGTTCAGACATGAGCTACCGACTGAAGAGTGAGAAACAAAATTGTTAAATCGATATGCCCATGTACGCTACATGTTATTTCCCGTCGCCATGGCAACCACATTAATGATATAACTAATTATCTGAGACGCCAAGTCTGACTGAAAAATTCTAAGGCTTCGAGCTGTCTCATTTCTGAATGTCACCATGATGACGATACCATATTTCAATTTGAACTAATAGTTCTTTAGATTGTCAGGTTTAGCCAAACTCAACAGAGTTTTAAGTATATATGAATAAATAAAACCAGTGGCGCTACGACCTTCTATGTCAGATTTCTGTACTGTTTCGGCATCATTTCTTTTAATAGACAATTAGGCGCTCAGACTTCTGTGACGCACGCCGTCGAATTTTTGGTTCTAAGGCATGTCGGGTCTTTTACTGTACGTAACGTATTAACTACTACGTAATGCGCCGAAGCCCTAGTGATTCTAAAATAATGTTGCAGTTTTTGTATGAAGCAATATAATATATATCAAGAGCAGTATATATATATGAGCAGTGCTGGCCTAGTGGCTTCAGCGTGCAACTATCATACCTGAGGTCGTAGGTTTGATCCCCGGCTGGACCAATGGACTTTCTTTCTATGTGCGCATTTATCATTTGCTCAAACGGTGAAGGATAACATCGCGAGGAAACCGACATGTCTTAGACCCAAAAAGTCGAGGGCGTGTGTCAGGCACTGGGGGCTGACTTGCCTATTAGAATGCAATATGATAATGAAACAGATTCAGACATCTGAGGCCAAAACCTAAACAGGTTGTAGCGCCACTGATTTATTATATACTAGTGGACCCCACAGACGTTGTCCTGCATGATATTTAAAGCGATTAGGATATTAAGCAAAGTATGAAAGTACCGACTGCAGTGCCATCTGCCGGGCTGATTTGTGAATCTAAACCATTCCCATACCCCTTGAACACACACAAAAAATTTCATCAAAATCGGTCCAGTCGTTTGAGAGAAGTTCAGTGACATACACACTCACAGAAGAATTATATATATATATATATCAAGAGCAATCAACGACTATGGCGAGAGTAGTACCGCGGCTAATCAATGGACTACCCAGTACCCAGTCAGTTATTAGAAAGCCGTACGTTTACCAACATAAGTAAATTGAAAAACTACTTTTATATGGTTTTGTCGCGCTCCTAAACAAGACTGCTATGTAATTTATACAAAGCACAGCGGTTTTCTAATGTAATCATGATTTTATTATATTATTCAATAAATAAATAAATTAAAAATATATTATTATTATTATTTCAGTTCGGCGAATGTGGCGCACACATTAAGCATATAAAAGAGGAATGGAATGGCAATATCTCCTGTATGCTGCCGCCGCCGAGTGGGAGTATTGAAGTCACTGGTATCATGCGGCTTGTTGTTGCAAGTAAGTGCAAGTGCTTTAAATTAAGTCTAGAAACCTTTGGGTGCGCTTCTGAGTAGTGATTTCTTCATGTTTCAATAAAAATATCTTATTAGAACAGTATCGTTACGACATATGCGTAAATAATTAATAAATTGGTTATTTGTAAAGAATGTGGTATATTCAAATTAATTAATTATAAAAAAAACAGCACAGTCATATAAAAATAGGCATGCATAATATATCATATTAATTATCATAATAATAAGAACAGTTAAGATATTTATTATTGTTGTCAAAATAATCTCCTGCATTATAAAGGTACCTTAACTTTAAATATTATATATTGTTTTGTATAAATGTGATACCGAATATTTTAACCAAATGTAAATTAACTTTGGAAACTACAGGATAAAGAAAATTTTAAGCTCCAAATAATAAGTACACACCAGGAGAATATGTCATGAAAATTTTGTGTAATTTCAGAGCCACCAGCCAACCCTCAACTGATATCACCCCCGCAGTCCAACTTCAAGGAGGGAGACGTCTTCATGGCCCAATGTATTGTACCAAACGGACGACCGGTTGCTAAAATCACATGGTTTTTGGGTAAGTAATATGAAAATACGAACCACTAATATAATGAACTTCCGATTAGTTACTTTTAGACAGCATAGATTAAAAATTATAAGTTTCTCTATTTACATTTTGTTTGTAAAATGTACAATTATTAATACGACTGTGGATATGTTCTGTAATATTACTTTTGTATCTGTGTCAATCACAACTCCTGTCCAAAAAACGTTCGCTTTTATAAATATGATGTAGACTAGATATTTACGATTTTGTTATCTTTGATGCTGCATACTTTATTTAGTACCCATGTATTTTAGTGAAGTGGAAATTTTGTTGATATAGAGTTCCACTGCCGAAGAATAAGAATAAAAATGCTATTTTATTGTTTTATTAATGATAAAAGGCTTTTATTTCAGATACGTTACATTTAAATAAATTTCTAGCATCTATTCAATCCTAAGTATCTGTGTGGCATTTTTTGGCCTCCTCCAAAATTTACCGTTTTAATCAGTTGTATCATATTGTCTTAATTATCTGTATTAATTGTAAGTATTCATTTCGCTTTTAAAACGGCTAAATATGTTTTTCTCTTATCCACAGATATGTTTATTTATATTTACAAATATATTATTCTTCCAGACGATGACCAATTCCTCACAGGCGTCCACCAGCCAATAATCACCTCCGAGCCAGGCATCGACTTGGAGACCATCAGCCAGAATATCACTAAGGAACTGTCAGCTGACGATAACGGCAAACGACTGGTCTGCAGAGCTGAACACGAAGCTTTAGATAGTCCTAGGGAGGCTGCGAGACAGCTGGTCGTATATTGTAAGTGTTTATATCTATTTATTTACATATTACCAGCAGTGTATACTTTATATATATAGTGATAGTTTGATGAAATCTATTTACCACATCATATAACTAAGAATTCGTCTCTTTGTATGCAAATTAACTCCAAAGCGAAATAGAATAATTATCACTAAATAAATTCAAAACTCTTGTTAAACGTAAACTAATCAATAAAACTTTTTATAAATTTGACGAATATTTAAATGATCCTAATCCTTGGGATTGGTTTGCTCCAGTTCAAACAATTTGTATGACTCAAAACTGGGCGATTAGAAAGAGTGGCGGAGAGTTTCTTGCCCGCTCTAATGTAGTAGTAAATGTAAACTTGACGACTCATTGGTCTAGTGGTTAGTACCCCTGACTGCGAAACCAGTCCCGCGAAGGTCCCGGGTTCGATCCCCGGCTGAGACGAACATCGATGTGATGAGCATTTGATGTTGTGCTTAGGTCTTGGGTGTTTAAATATGTATTTATATGTCTATCTATGTATAATATGTATGTATATCCGTTGCCTAGTACCCATAACACAAGCTTCACCAGCTTAGCATGGGACTAGGTCAATTGGTGTGAATTGTCTTAAAAAAAAAAAAAAAAAACAATTTAACATATTCTCTGTAGACATTCATAAGTGTGGTCACCTATATAAATAAAGTTATTTTGAGTTTGAGTTTAAAACTATATGATGATTTAATGTACAGTAACTCTTTACGAATCATTTGTCCGTAGTATTTTAGAATATGCCACTGTAACAACACATTTCAAAATTGACTATTTCGAGTTAGATACTCTAATACTCCGACGTGACTTCATTGATCTAGTTTATTTGCATGAAATATTTAACTTTAATAATCATACTCATCTTCTTGCAAAATTTTACGTTCTGTGTAATCCTGGAGTTATTCAAACTAAAAGTCTGCTATACGTACCTACAACTCCCTTATCTGCTACTATTATTGCTCCTGTGAATAGGGTATCTTGCTCTTACAACTTTATCACTAACATTGATGAAAATATTGACATATTTTACAATAATCTTCCTACTTATCGTAATTCGGTGTATTACGATCTTATATAGGCTTAAGATTCTATTTAGTTTTAGATTTTTCTTGCTGGTGTGAAATCTTTGTGTGTAAAATTTGTGAAGTTATATTTTCTTGTATCTTGTAAGCATACATGTTGTTTTAGGATTTAAATAAATAAATATCAGTTTATTCGTTTAGAGTGACATGTTTTAAGTGATTGGAGGCCTTGTAAAAGTTTCCATATAAATATTTGACATACGTAGGAGATACGATTTATGGAAGCATTTATTTCTCATGGTAGAGCTTCTGCTTTAATCTCCCTAGCATATATTCTAATACAGTTATAATTAACTGACAATTAAATATTTCCAGACCCACCAAAGCGCACAGAGGCCGGTCAAGTCACAATATTTGGCTTGAAAATTGGTTCCGAAGGACGTTTGAATGTAACTGTGAGGGCTAATCCACCTCCCGAAGCTCAGTGGACCGTTGGAGAGTTGGTGTTAGCTGCTCCTCAAAAGAACGAAGACTCTTCCATCACCGCCTTGGAACCTGTGCACTTGGTACATACTCTTAGTACTTAGTACTTTTTTACAAATTAAAGAAATAATTTCTAATAATCACATTTGATTATACTTGATTATATTTTCTAATAAAATTGGTTGTACACAATACAATGCCCTGTGAAAGTACAACGGTTACGGATTATTTCATAACTTTACAGTTTTAAATACATTATGTATGTAATTGATAAATATTATATATTTCATGTTAACATAATGCATAAGTTCTCTACTACACACAATATCCGTATTGCTTGGAAGATTTGTTATAAATATCAAATACATAACTATTTTACAGGGTGGTGGGTACTACAACGTAACATTAGTACTGACAGCGGTGGCTAAAGAAGACGTCGATAGAACATACTACCTGAGAGTTAGCAATGATTTGGGAAGAGAGGAATTCGCCCTACGACTGAGTACCATGGACGAACCTGCAGGTAATATAAAAAAGTTATTGAATTATGAATAAAATATAGCAAGCGCGATTGGATAACGTCTAGACCAGTGTTTCCCAAAGTGGGCCCTACAGGGGGGCAACTTGATTGTTAAGGAGGGCTATTCAAAAATGTATTGAAATTATTTAGAATTTAAATTTCAGTTTTTCATTTTATGTTTTGACAAAATACGTACTGTTTCGTTAAAAAATTCCTAGTAATTTCTTCCTAAAACTATCTACTACTATCATTGAAGTTTCGTAAGTGAACAATTAAATTTTTTTATATATTAAAAAATATACAGTATGTTACACATTGGCATAAGAATTTTAGAAAGTCGGGAAACACTGGTCCAGACCAATCACAGTTAAGCGATACAATCAGTAGTTTAGTTTTTCAATTATCCTATTAAGACTCAGGTCTTGATAATTTAATAATCGCAAGGCACAAGATGTCATTTTACAAAGGTCTGGTTTCCCATGACCTCTGGAGTCAAAGTCTAAATATATTTATGTTACCAGTATTGTTAGTATTTACTATAATTATTTATTTGCAATCAAATTCATTAATAACAAAAAAAAAATAACTTACCTATAAAGGTTCCGAAGGTACTGGCAGCGTTCCCCCTTTGCATAGCTAGACTAAATCTTTGCCCGAGGTAGCTCCCAGCTCTTGGGCCTCCTGTGATGTCGACAGTTAATGTTACCTTCATAAACTTGACATTAACTTATGAACGTAACACCAGCGGAGACCAAACTCAAAGAACTCTCCGACAGGTTTTTTTTATTCAGAGTCCGCTGTTGGCTATTAAGCTGTCATTTCTTGTATCTCTAAGTGCATAAAATTCATTATTAATATCGCCAAAGACATACGCTTATCGAATATACAAGTATACACAATTTTTGAAGTGAAAACTTCTTTAGCGGCGTTGTACACTTTTTTTGGAATGGGTAAAAAATTTTAAACTCGCGTAAGGACACGTGACCTGATCGAACATTCGTAAGACGGATAGAGAGTAGACAGCTGGCGCGGCGTATTTAATGTAATATAAATTGTCATGTTTATGTACGATAGCGCAATAAGTAAATATTGTATTCAACCACATAAATGATAGTACTTTTATACTGATAATTAAAGCAATTCGTGCAAAATTATTCCTTAACCATTCCAAAATATCAAAAATGCACAACGTTACTATTCAAGTTTTCACTTCTGCCGGCACTCTCGGAGTGCAACCCGTCGTTTTTTTTACACACATAATATATTGATAATTTTTCCAACAGCACGGAAAGAAATAACGTCTTTACTTAGTTTCGATGTATATGGTAAGGAGTTTAAAAATTGCATTTTAAATGCATGATATACGTAGATTAGTGGACGTGAAAGCGATATGTGCGATTATCTTCGCTCTTATATTTTCCTTTGAACAATGTTCTTTAATGGTTTGTTGTGAACAACGACTTCTATGAAGGATTTTTTTTGTTTTATTTAAAAAAAAAAATAAGTCTACAAGTAGTGTTCCATTGCAAATGTGGTTGTGCTTACGCGGTCATGGTAATTAATGCTAAGCAAGATGTTGCATGATTTTTTTTATAATTGCCGAACGCTATTTATGAGAAATGAACATAATTGTGTATTTGAAAAGTATTATTTTTGAATGTTTTTCAAATATGTGCGTGCAAGTTATTTAATTTATCTATTTATCGAGCACTATAATAAATTATCAGGAGAAAGCTACACATTATAATAAACTAATTCCACTTCGTCTATTTTAACTATAATTTCAGAAACTGCTGAACTGGACTTGAATTGTTTCTTGAAAATTAAGTTCAAGATTAGAAAAGTATTCTTTATTTAATAAGGTTTTAACTATAACAATCAAAATACTATATAATTAAACATTCATCTAAAAAATAAATACAAAATTTGCTAGTTATAAATAATTGTCTAATAAAATTCCTTTTGCGCTGGTTTCATTAATATTTGTATGTTTTTTAGGTGTCGAGCTAAGTCCTGGTGCAATTGCGGGAATCGTAGTGGCGATTTTGCTTCTCATTACACTGGTTTCACTGACTGTGTTCGCCAAGGCTACTGACCGGTGGTGTTTCGCAGGTTAGTTTTAGATTTTTCATAAAAGCTCCATTTTCAAATGATACAATATATTTACGATTATTTAGCTGTAATAGTTTAAAACGTTACCTTACAAGTAACACTAGTTTTAAATAAAAACAAGTGATTGTATCAATTGAAAAATAGTTTAAATATTGCCGAGTGATAAAAAAATCTTTGGCTGAGTTTTGATTGTTCTTTTTAAATCAGTTTTTTTAAGGGTAATATTTAGAGTCAAATGTAGTGTTAAATATGATTGCGGTGTGTCACAAACTTACTGGTTTTGACATTTCAGATTCATAATTAGCGTTAAGTTTCTTCAATCTCAAATCATACCCTAAAAACTTAAATTTAAATAAGTTAAAATTTATCTTATAATAAGTTCTTAAATTAAAATTGGCGCATTGCAATAATCAATTTTACAATAGTAATTTAAGGGCATTTGAAGACAGCTTTATACAAAATCATAAGGCAATATTTATTTCATAATCCATTAACTAAGATTTGCATGATTAGTATAGTATGCCGTCTGCATGCTTTTTGACATAATACTCGTAATAATTGGTCGTAATTTGATAAAAAATTCAGGTCTTTATATATGTACGTGCTATGATATGTACTATGATATTTGCACGGATTCGACCACTGACAAAATTAATGATAATACATCTGACACCACTTGACAACCATTTGACATAACTTAAAACATGGATTTGAAAAGAAATTGAAATTAACTAATTAATTACTTTACCGTTTTACGAAAGACATAAATGAACTTAATATAATATTAAAGGAAAAATTCTACGAAAGACTAGGCGGTATGGTCGAAAAATTATATAGCCTGCGCCATGGGCGAATAGAAAAAAAATGCTTTTTGACAGTTGTCAAGTCTTGTCGTTGAACAGAAATTACGGTTCAATCGTGAAATTTTTTAAAGAGTATAGAATTAGCAACAAAATTAATTAGCGATTATTTTCTTAGAATTAATAGTTTTACAAATATGGTGCTCCAAGATTGCTTTTTATTAATATAAGCGTATAGCGTAAATGGCAGTGTTTCTTAATTAAATGTGGATACGTTTTAAGATTATCAATTTCTATATTATGCTGTCAGTTTAAAAATAAATATTTCTCTTAAACAAAATTATTGTCACTGTTTTGTTTTAAATTTTTATTTACCGTGACAGCGTAGTATAGAAAAACCTTTTATTATAATAAATATTTTGCTACATACCTACAGTAAGAGCGATCAAGAACGAATTGGCATGTCAATATTAGCATGAATCTGTTTTTGTACTAATTTTTCAAATCTCTCTAGCATGAAATTGCATGAACCATAGATTTTTGGATGAGTAGTTTAGTGGTTTCCAGTTACAAGATAATATAGTCTGGGTTTTTGAATATATTTAATAATAAGGTGGTTGAACTACGTTATGAAAAACAAAGTTAACCTTTTTTAATTACTTATTAAATACTAAAATTGGTGGTGGATATTAACATATTCCTTAAATACTTATTCGTAATAACTTACACTACGATTTCTTCACAATTTTCAATCTAAAAGTAATTGTAACACTGGTTTACGTATTCTACTAACGAAATATGCACATTTCAAATTACTTTAAAGTCTTTACTGGGTGGCGTATTAATGTGTTGGACTTTTTATAAGCCCTTATACAATAATAAAAAAATCTGATTCAAGAGTAAGAATTCCTTGTATTACGGTTACGGTATTTTGACTTCATTATCAGGTGATTTTTACTCTGCTAAATTACGAAGACAGTTTAATGCCTACAAACATGCAGGGCTGTAAGGGCTTTCAGTCATGTATTTTTAGAATTTAAATAGTTTCATTCCTTGGTAGAAACAAGGTAGATATAGAAACAGGGGTACAGGGTTTACGTTCTTGATCGCTTATCTATGTTGGTATGTGGCAGGGCGGTCTCACCGCACCGACATACCGGACGGGGCTGATTCTGAGGCACCCCTCCCCCCACACGATGACATCAAGGGCTCAGAGAATCCAACCCACGAGCACGGAGACTTCATCAGTAACGGAGACACAAAACACCCAGAAAAGAAACCAGATACCGCGGTCTAAGCTTGTAAGTCGGAGCTGTCACTGTCACAATGACAGGACGTTTAGATGCCATGACACTTGTCATGTCTTCAGAATTTAATATCTTAAAACTAGCTTTGACGTTTTGTCAACTTTACAGTAGCATTCATAAATATACAGACTTGTATCCCAGTAGATTTACCTCTTATAAAACGTTAAAACATCTATAATATGTAGGCAACCTAGCCTCAGAATATAACATTTTACATGTTCTTTTGTTTATCAAAATTTATTGATACTGATAAACATTGATGAAATATACGAGTCTTGGTCAAATAATTAAATCATTTATGTATCAATCCAGCACCTAATTCATAAAATGGTTTTTGATATAGCAAGCTATTAATGACTTGGCTATTGTATTGTGACAAGCCATAGGGGCTGAACTATGCCATGATAATCAATGTCAACTCTCATATTATTGTAATATTAAAACGTCATGACAATTGACTATATAGTAGATAAAACATGTATAGTTATCGAAATTATTATCTTAAAGTTAATTTTATTGACATTTTAGATGTATGTTAAATCTCTTGAATTATATAAACAATTAAATAAAGATTAAAAATAATATTAACTGATTATTTTTACCAATACATTGTGAATCATTTAAGGTTAATTGTTAAATATGACAGGACAGTAATTATTTTAACTTTACGTCAATCTTTTCTAGAGAGTCTTTAATCTCAATGTTTCAATCTTTTCGTATCTTTTAGTGTATTTTACGATTTTTATATTACCTAGATATAATGCCGAGAACTTTCTAGACCCGGTGGTTAACACTATGGAAATATCCCAACTCATTCTTTGTAAATAACACCAGCCCACCGCTCTTGGGTCTTATAAGCTAATTACACTATAATTGAAAATGTGATAACTACGAATATCATATGTTTGAAGAGAATTAATAATAAAATTAAAAAAAATAGGTAATAAATATTTCAAACGTTTCCATATACTATGATATTTCAATACCATGCTTTCTCCTTTGAATATTTAATACATACATAGTTTGTCTTTAAATCTCAACTTTGTAGTATTTTAAGAAGAATGAGGGTAGTTCCAAAACGTGACCATCAACTTTTCACTGTGACAGTACCTACACAACTATTTTTTTTAGTTTGAGCTAAACCTAAGTTGTAATAATATTAATGCTTGATGTTTGCATAAAATATAAAACGTAAGGAAAACACTTGTTCAGTGTCGACCTAATAATTATATGGTAAACTTTTTTTTTTTTTTCAATGTAAAAAAACCTAACGGAGCGTAACGATGATATCTTGAATAAGTCTTACTATTGAATACATCAAAAACCTAACAAACACAATTTTAAATATTTCTTTAAAAATACAATACATGATAGAAAAATGTCCACGTTTAAATAAATATCACCTACGTAGCCAGCGCGTGTCAATAGTCAACAAATTCATTTCATTCGCACTGGTGTGTTTGCTTACGTTGCACTTTTCAAAGCTTAGCCCACAAATATTATTAAATTAAACAATATCCTTTGGTTACAGGGTAACCTGGGCAGACATCGTATTTCGAAAAATAAATTGCTGAATCTCCGCATTTTTAACACTGGCAACACTGTAGGAATTCATATTGCATATATTGTCATGTTATAAATTAAAAAAAAAACATTAAGACGTTCTTTTTTAAAATCGTGACACCCGTCACTACGTTTTGTGCGCACTTAAAATAAAACGGCGTTTATAAAATAATAAATAAAGTATTTATTACTAAGTACACGCTAAATTAGAACATATAGAACAGTAGATGTAAATTAGTATTGACCTCGAATTTATTTTAATATAATGAACGAATTTAAATTTCAAATGCATGACGTCAAATATAAGAAATACGTAATTGCCAGGTGTTTTTTCTATAATTTGTACTAAATTGATTTTAATGTCTTTTAAAATGTGTGTTTGTTAGTTTTTCTATGTATATCTACTAATATAAATGTAATTATAAGGCCTATTTTTTAATTTTCTCTATTCATGTGCTATAAGCCTTTTCATTTTGGATGTTTTGTCCTCATCTCTATCTCTTTAAACGTGTAGAAACTTGACAAAAAAGTTAGTACGTGGCGGTTTATAGTACGTTTGGAATAAGTGATCTTTAGCCTAAAATCTTTGCACTTTGTGATCAATGTAATATCAAAGATCATTTTAATATTTGTTGTCATCTGTCTAAGCGTTATCTATGAATTTTGACAGTTTGAAAAGTGCAACGCCATGCGATATTTGAAATATAGGCTTTGTAAATTATGATTATAGAACGTATGACGAATCTCATTGATGTTGTGAACTCAACGAACTGTAGTTTATTATAGATTTTATAATTCATGATTAAAATATTAAATTATGTAAAGCCAATCAACTAAATAATACGGGGCTAAACCAAAACTATCTTGTGATAGTAGATTGTCTGATAACGTTGATTATAGGTAAAAAACGATTGCCTCATTATTTTACATTTGGCAGCTAAAGGAGTTTTTATATGAATTAGTAAGTTTGTGATTCGCGTTTTATTTTAAATTGTCTTGCGTAAATCAAGATTTTGACAGGCATACACAATTTTTTGTTGATAAATCCTGTTGTATACCGTGTTTTTACGTATTACAGTTAAGTCCATTATGATAAGTTCACCGACCGTACATTAGAAAAATATATATTTTTAGTTATGTAGTTCGCTTCATATAAATATACATTCGTTCTTAACAAACACTTGGGTATGTTAAGAACGAATTTCAATACAATAATTTTGAAATGAACTGCTAGACTACGACACGTTTTTGACAGGTTTTTACTTATTAAATATTTTAAGATTACGAAGACCCTTTTGCAGTGTAACCTTATAGTTAATAATATAACATATCTCTCTATCATTATATATTGTGCGGTCGGTAATGTGTTCGTTCCAATATTATTTTATATTTTGTATATATTATGTAATAGTATTGAAATAAGCCTACTTAATTTAATTTTAAGGTTAGCTTTTTTGTATTTTTGAAATATTTGACCGATTTTACAATTTTTACAGCTGCTCAGAAAAATGGCATAAAGATAAGACCTAAACAAAATAGTAACTCAATAAATTCCCCTCGAGATGTGTTCTTAATGTTATATTCTTAACTTATTTGAACAGAAGGTGGTAATTGCGACCTTAAATTGTCTAAAATTGTTCATATTTGACGCGCAATCTTGCCGAAAAGCTCTGAAAATCATAATACTATAATTATTTAACAGCAATAAGACAGATATAGACGTATCATCTATCTCTTTCTTGACTTGAATAGTAAGCTAAGTGGCTCAGTCTTTTCTCTATGCTGTGTTCTCATTGACATTGTAAAGTCGCGTACTTAAGTTTTGTAAAGATCTATACTTATTAAATTAGGTCACCGTTGTAAGTTTATTTATAACACGTTTACAAAAGCACTGCCATTTTTCAAAACCAAAAATGTAATAATTCCAGTACTGCCATACGAACATCACATTTTGCAATTTTAAATGTTTTTATAAAATAAATTTCTAAATCAATTTTAATGAATTAACGTGTATAGAACAGTATGTTATCAATTAAAGTATTTATTAAATAAGAATAGATTGTTTTATTTCAACATTTCATGTATTATAAAATTGGCTTGTCGAATCACCGTGAAAAACAAACTTGACACAGATGTTGTAAAGAAAATTTTATTGGTTGTAATATTTTAATGAAAAACTAGAATCTGCATATTGGTCAATATCCGTACTTTAATTTATTTTTAAATCAATTTTATTAAATAGGAATTTGTTAAATTAATTACGATTAAAATATAAATGATTTTTATAGATCAAGAAAATCGCGATCAGGGAAAGAGCTCAGGAGAATCGTAAGTACATTGTTTTAACTTAATAAGCTAATTATGTGTTCTGGGGATACTTATATAAAAATATTGTCATAATACCTTTAATTAACAACGGAAAAGATAGTGAAAATGCTACCGAATGAATATGTTAATAATAGAAAATAGTTTCCTTTGGTTCATTTTTTCTTTTGATATTGGTTTTGTCGTGAACACGTGGGTAAGATTCAGATTCGCGGCTAAGCGCTAAGTATGACTTCTATTTGTAAAATCCAATACATTTTTGACATTCGGGAGACAGCGCTATCTATGTCTCGACTCCGAATATTACCCTATGTTTACATAACGTACACATAAGCGAACTACATAACTCACTTACCCATTAGTGCGGAAATACTTTTGTAGTGGGTATATTTATTTCGCTTTGTATATAGCTGATTTTGTTATAAGGATGGCGGCTGGTGATGTGCTTTTACATGCTGCGAACCCGCTACCCTCCAAAAAGTAGGTAATCTACAATTCCACACGTGCATGGCATAACGAATGTAAATACCTGCTTAATACTTACCATTATACAATTCTTACCTCTTAGTTATTGTTTACTAATAATAACAGTTTTCTAACACTTTTTTTTTCAATCTCAATATAGTTCAGTGCCATCGTATTTGGCGTAAAAATATCAGGGTCAAATTCTGAACAGATTAGAACTGAAAAGATTCTCTTCCAAATATAACTACTGCTGTGCCTAACTCTACAATGTATTTTACAGAATTTTTGACCGTTGAAAACTCAAACAGTAAAGAACGTATAACTCTTTTCTTATTATCAAAGTGTAAAAAGTCTCAATATAATCGTAATTTGCATTGTATTAGTAATTTTAATATTGTACAAAGCTTAATTCAATTTGTTCACTATTATTTTGATAGTCTGTAATTTCCAATAGCTAGTGTGATTCCGAATTTTTTTTGTAGGCAGTTGTAAGTGATTCGGAAATTGAGATATTTATATCGGAATTGCATACAAAAACTGTATTGGAAGTTACAGACCCGCCGCTTACACCATAATAGAAATAGAAATTTTAAAGGCTCTGTTTCCTTAGCTTTTGCTTATAACATTTTGCATCAAATCGAAATTCGAACATTATGAAAGATTGTTCATTTTCGCACACCTCAAGGAACTTGTTACTCTTGTAATAAATACATAATATGCTTTGTGCCAGTAGCGACACAGAGAGTGCAGTTGGCAGGCAGAAATCACGGCTGAGTCAACTAAGTGCCAGAGTAAGAGCAGTTTTACCGAAAGGAAGGGACCGTGTTCAGGCAACTGGTAACACTGAAGTTGAGCCTGAGGTAACACTTTTTGCTATGCATACTTAGACAAGACCAATATTTTTTTACATTAAATTAAAAATCTTCTTCCAGAACGTAGCAGACGAGAAGAAGGGTGTAGTCTACGCTGAACTAGCACTTGGCGATCAGAACGCTGAAAAGCCGCCGCCACCATCCACAGAGTACGCAGAGATTGTCTACACCGACCAGCCGCCACAGATTAAAGAAAATAAAGAATAAAGTATCTAACTTATAGTAGTATGTACAGTAACGATAGATATGATTTTCTTATCATATCTATGGTTACTGTACACAAAACCCAGCCCAGTTCACGCACTGCTAAAACGAGTATTGAATTGACACGCACACAACTTAGAGAAATCATAGTATAGTTTAGCGTGACGCTATTTGCATTTATCTTATAAAATTGTTCCATTTCAAAATATCGTAGCAGATGGTTAAAGAAACCAGAATAGTATTTGAAATTTTTCTCACTTGTGCACGCATTTTAACACAATATTGCTATGGTAAAAAATAAATTAGGTACTTTAGTCTTACACTTTTTCTCGATTTTATTGAATTATTATGTATGGTATGTTCGTAGTCTGTTATTTATATTTTTCACCTTTATATTAAATAAAAATCAAATGACGAATAAACTTAATTTTATATACATTTAGAAAATCAAGTATTTTATAAAAAAATATTCTTTTCATATACGTAGGTATACATTAAGAAAATTATGTATATTTTTAAATAAAGGCACACCAACAAAAGGTATACCTATAACCTATGTGCAAAAATTAATATTAAAGACAATTAGACCACCGGGTTATATAATTTGCAAGAATATTAGTTTATAAAAAATATTATTAATGGATCCTATATGAAATAATTATATTAGTTTTACGTTTAAGACTAAGAATGTATTTACATTAAAATGAAGCGAAACATAATCGAGGTTATATATGGTTGATATTTAAATATATTCAATATCATATTGTTTGCAATTTTAAATACATAATTATATTAATTAACATATTTTTGTACAATATTTTAGAAATTATTCGCTTCCTTTTAGTGGGAAACGCGCCTAATATGTAATCTCATTTAAAAAAATTACCACTATGTTTAAGTATACATTACATAAGTTAAGAGACGAGGTAGAAATCCAGTTAATATTATAATTTTGACAGATTATAAAATATTATCAGACTGATATTAAGATTTTAATATAGTTTTTATTTTTTTTAAAATAACTATTCATGTTTGATGATCTGTTCCCTAATTGTTTACCTTCGCTCGATTTGTCAGTTGTCACTAAAAGTCAGTTCAAATTTACAAATGTCATTGGTATAATTAAAAATGGACTCTTTACGCTATCTAAATTACTTATCTATCCTTACTATTCACTATGATTTAGTAACAATTTTAAATCATAAAACGCGGTAAAGACTTATGACTCACTGATTAATTTACTTAATTTGCTTTATTTCTTCTATTAGGCACAATAGTTTCAAATTTATATTAATTTGGTCTGATGTGTAGCAGTGTTTTAAGAATCACATGTACAAAATATTAATTTTTAGCGCACAAACCGTCCCAATATTATAAGTTTAGTTATAATTGCTTAATCGGTGCTGTAAGGTAGCCGTGCAATTTTTAAGAATCGCATCGCTAGAATTTTAAATATTTTTCTATGGTAATTTATTTTAATTTTAAAATCGATTAATAAAATCAAAACTTCCACTTCAAAAGCCGAACACCCACACAGGCCCAGAAGAATGAGCCTTAATAGTTTCGCCAATTTAACTACTAGTTCGTTTCTTGTCAATTGTCAGAGTAAACATATGACAGAAGGCGACGAATGTTTAATTCTGACAGAATTATATTGGTTTATGAATGACCCCAATGGTCGACTTATTTAGAAACTAAATTAGACCTAATGCACTCATTCGTTTTTGATAATTTCTGTGTGTACGCTGTTTTTACGCTTATCAGATTATTAAAACTGTGTAATACGACTTAAATTTTATATACATATATTCCAAATACCATACTTTTCAATTTAATGACTTTGATTTTCAACATTAGGTACTATTAAATTTGTACTTATACGATTTTAGAATATAACAAAAATATATTAAATTGTTTCACTTCTATTTTGTGTACTTTGTAAACGATTTGCAGTTTTTATGTAAAACTATTTTTAATGATATTAATATATTTTTAACGATTTGTATGTTCATTTTAAGCGTAGCATAGTTATTATGTAATAAAATTTGTATGTGTCGTATGATAATTTTTTCGTCCAATCCTAAAATACCTTACATTATTAATATATCGTCCCTAGTGCCTGATTAACCCTTAGGCTAATTAGGCTGCAGCCTAGGGCGCGACGATCTTGGGGGGCGCGGGCGCGCTGAAATCGTGTCTTCGCTAGCATCATACGCAGGGGGCATATTTCAACTAGACCGAGACAAAACACTAAATGAACTGTGAACTGGGTCTACAAGCAGATGGCAAATTTTAGTATCCAAATTAAATGAAGAATCTACGGTACTAAAAAATCTGTCAACAACTCGAAAAAAATCAAAGTAAAGAGACCAAAATAGAATAGACCACAAGCCCATGAACAAAAAATACCTGTGAAATGACCCAACGTGAATTACGCTTAGAAGGCTGTTACTATATCTGAAAATAGCTCTGAGCACTATGCCGTCATTTCTGAGCGGTACATGTGAGTACGTGAGTGAATGGACTTTCACAGGTACAATTGAGGAATTTCGACTAATTATTAATGTACGGCTTTGTTATAAGTGTATAGATGATTAAAAATAAATGTCGAAAAACCTAGTGCCGTACTAAAGTGATGGTGCCGGAAGTCGGTGCAAATTTTTAATTCGACGACAGTTGCAGAAGCAATATAGGTCATTTATTACTGTACGGCATTCGTGTGATTCCTTTTGGACAGATATACAGATACTTTACCCGTAAACGCCGTACATATTTCCAGCGGAGCGGTCGAAAGCCAAGGGTCGCAACATATGTCTGATTAGCATATAGGTGATGATGATATAGAACAACATAAAATTAAATGATCTTGAGAGTACTTCACAAATAGATAACATTTTCCAGCATGCCGTACATTTTTTGTGGAACACATAGGTGTATGGGGTAAATTACTTTCCTCAGAAAGAGTCATTTATCTGTACGGCAATAACACAGGTTATTAATACTTTAGACCATCTTCAATAAAAGATAAATGCCGTACACTTTTGATAGTCCGCTAGTCTGTGAAATGGCAGATTATACCACCGCCTACCAATACATTGCGCCCCAAAGTTATCGGACATGAAGGGAAAGTACCTTAAATATCGTAGATAGGGTATTTTACTAAAAGAAGACTTTATGTTATTTTTAAAAGTTAGTAATTCTGCATTCAAAGATTTTCTAAAAATTACTTGCCTCGTCTGGGAATCGAACCGACTTATATGTAAAAAAACACCCCTACTTTTATGATGCCAATCGAAAGAATGGCCAAAACCTAATAACTTTTCCAAATCAAACTGAAATATCAAACTTTTAAATTTGATTAAAATGTGGAAAAATTTGTTAACGCTAAAGCAAGAAAAAGGCCTTTTGTATAAGCTAATAATAATTAGGTACCTACTTAATTTTTTTAACAGTTGAAACAAACAAACAAAATGTTTCACCTTTTTGATTACTCTCATCTTTTTTAAAGATAACAACAGAAGTGAAAATATTTTAAAAATAACAAAGTCGAAGCAACATCACACACTAGATGACCATGTCTATGATTAATAGCCGCAACAACTAAGCTGTCCATAGAAACTAAGCCTAAAATTTGGTTTTCTACTTGGTAGCCTGTCATGATTTTGTCGTATAGTGCGTGAGGTGCTTTGCCTTTGTGTAACGCTCAGATAAAAATGGTTACAAGTCGTGCAAATTATAGGACAGCGTTCGTTTCGCTTGCATATCGATCTGTTAACTTTTATAGATAGTATGAACCATGTTAAAATTTTCACACTAGTAAACAAAGTCAAAACTAATATATGTACTACTTTTTAGACCGACCGTAACACACCTATCACCTTGCAGGGGCGCATCCTGATAAATAGCCTAGAGCGGTCAGAACTCTTGATCAGTCTCTGTTATTTCGTCCCCGTAGAGCGAAAACTCATTAAATCCAAGTATATATATGTATATACATACTCATGCGGCAGTTTTTTTTGACACATAAAAAATTGGATTACACCGATTTTATTTCTTTTTATTTAGGCTCAAATTATCTTAAATATATAAAACTTAGTAACTAGTAAACGATAAACTCCACACGACCTACACCATTTCAACCTGTTTACCTACAACCAAATACATTATAGGCGTGTGATTTATATTCCCTAGACAGAGAGCGTCCACAATGCTTTACTTCGGATCACGTCAACACTCGTGCCTAAACCACAACTAAGCGTCACGAGGATGGTTTAGGCCGGCCACGTTTTCAAGCCTAAGACCGCCGTTAAAAGATCGGTCCAGTTTTACAATGTGTTCGTTTCGTAAATCACTGACTTTCAGGCAAGCATTAGTCTGCTGGCTGCTGCTTTAGGAGTCCACAGACTAACTCATTAGGGTTTCCTCCCTTTGGTTCGGTTCTTATATAGTAACTAAAAAAACAAGAGATTACGAAACGAAATATCGACTAATGTAAACCCAGCTTACCACAAACAATAAATACTACAAATCAAATTATCATTTATTCATTTAGGTAACTCAATGTATACTTATGCCTCTAAATTTACGTAGTTGGTCCCAAAGTTCTGTCACTGGCACATTATTTTTAAATTACGAACATGATTTTATAAAAAAATTATTGCATTCTATTTTTGATTGTTTGACTATTGTTTTAAAACAAAAAACAATCACTTTCCGTAAATTTTCAAGATGGAGTGGACATTGAAAGAAAACCGAATAGCTGTTATTGCGTTGCACCGCTGTGGGCACTCGGCGAGTACCATTTTCAAGTTGCTCAAAAATTTAAATATAACGCTTAGGTTTGTGTACCGTACTATTGATAGGTACAATGAAGTCTCCAGTGTTGAGGACAAGAAAAGAACTGGCCGGCCACGCTCCGCAAGGACACCAGCAGTGATCAAAGCTATCAAGGCGCGGATAGCAAGAAATCCTGTCCGAAAACAGAAGTTGATGGCTTTGCAGATGGGTGTCAGAAGATCTTGGTCTACGGGCATACAAAAGAAAGAGTGGGCACCTACTTAATGCTCGTCTAAAAGCAATAAGGCTTAAGAGATCGCGGGGTTTGTTAAAGCGGTACGCGAAAAACCGACACCGTGATATCCTCTTTACGGACGAAAAATTTTTCGATATTGAAGAGAAGTACAATAAACAGAATGATAGAGTGTACGCTAGGAGTTCTGAAGAAGCTGGAAATAAAGTTCCGAGGGTGCAACATGGACATCATCCATCATCAGTAATGGTCTGGTTGGGAGTGTCCTATTACGGGCCAACTGAGGTTCATTTTTGCGAAAAGGGGGTCAAAACCAGTGCAAAAGTGTATCAAGACACGGTTTTGGACCAGCTTGTCAAAGACCTGCCCAGCACGCTATTTTCGGGACATCACTTTGTGTTCCAACAGGACTCTGCGCCTGCACACAAAGCCAAGACCACTTAGGGTGAGATCTATAGTGCGCACTTGGACTTTGCTCAGACTTACCTTACGAAAAACTTTGCTTAGTGTACACTAAGGTTAAACTATGATTTCGTATTTATAGACATTTTAACGGTGAGATTAAGCTAAGCCCAAGCTAAGACAGAAAATGTCAAAATACAAATTGATGTTTCATTTCATGCAATACTTTGTTTATTATCCTTTAAAAAAAGTTAACAATAACAAATATTTAAAAAATCTAAAACGGTACACATATATCTTCAATTTATTGTTATTTATGTATTCATTTATTTTATTATTGCAATAACTAGAAATTCACGAGTAACCTTTAGAAAATGTATTAATTATTTAAAGATGACAATAATTTTATTACGTAGAACGGATCGCAATGTTTTGGTTAGGTTATAGTTTGAATTTCGTTGTCACTATAATATGCCAATTGCCAGGGCTGCCAGGTGACATACAAAATCACACCAGTTATTTTTAAGATTTCTCAAAAATGGGGTTTGAACAATTACATAAATAATATAAATAAACAACAATAAATACCATAATAATGTGTAATTATTTTATTTCATGCATTTCATAGGTATTTATCAAGATCATTTATAATTTCTTTGAATTCAAATTTATTTTTCCCAAAGTCTATGGAACTCCGATACAAAATGGCAACACCGTTATTAAAAACCGACAAAAATAAAAATCCATAAAAGATATGATGGTAAAGAAATTTTGGCCATTATTTTGTAGGCTTAAGTCAAAGTTTGGAAGTGTGATGTGGATTGAGATTAAGCTAAGCAACATAGGGAGAGATTGTAGTTTGTTATAAATACGATGGTGCTAAGTTAAAAGAAGTTAAGGGATGATTACCTCAAACCTGGTTTGAGCGTCAAAACATCGACTTAATTAGACATGAGGATTGGCCTTCCTCCAGTCCAGACCTTAATCCTTTGGACTATAAAATTTGGCAGGTCTTAGAGAGGAAGGTCTGTGATAAACCCCATAAAAATTTGGAGTGTCTGAAGTCATCTTTAAAAAAAGCAGTCACTGAAATCGACATGAATATGGTGCGTGCTGCGATAGACGACTGGCCGCGGCGCTTAAGGGCCTGTATTAAAAATAAGGGAGGTCATTTCGAATAATTTTATGCTATTTCTATTTCTTAATTTATGTACTATTAATTGATATATCACTCATTAAAAACTGATCAGTACTTTAGTTTTTATCATTATTTCTATTTATGACAGAACTTTGGGACCGACTACGTATATTTACTGCCAGTTAAATACTCAAATAGCGTAGAAAGGACGAGAAGAATTGGTCACCTCTGCGTCACTCTGAAATCGCCTAGGTTTTTTTACAAAATGTGATCACCTGCAACCGTTACATTACGCGTTGTAGATACAGTCTGATTATCGAGACAAAACTCTTGACATTCATAATTCCAACTATCCTATGTCGGAGCTAATCTTTTTTAAGTAAGTAGTCCGCTATGATATGCCAAGTGGGCCAAGTTAAAAATTAATAATTTTATACTTGTAATTTAATACCCGGCGAATCCGTAGCATATTGTTATCTGCTTGTTTATATTTCTCTGATAAGTTTTAATAAACTACGTAATATTGAAGTATATGCAACGTATGTATATAGCATATACTTAATAAGTGTATGTTGCGTCAAACCATAAAATGGATGTCTTGCTGAATTTCTTGTGGAATTTTTGTTATAATTGAAAATATAAAAAATATTTGGCGAATTATTTAAATCACAGTCCATATTTAACATATATACCGGACGATTTTATTTTTTATAAATTCTATATATTTGTTCATTTTCTATAGATATTTTAGATTTTTTGATAATATAAATGTGTTAATTTTCATAAATTAAATTAACTAAATCACTACGGTAACAGACATATTAATGCGTCTATTTCACTCACCAATTTATAGTCAAAATCCCAAATAAATGTCAAATCAAGCATAAACAATAAGCATGCATTTGATTTTGTCTTAAAAATGTGCAGGTAGATATAGTTTATTTTTAAATTATACAATTTTACAATCTCTCCGTAACAGGCATCTTTGTTTATGCAAAAAGCTATCATTTACACAGGTGTAAATATGAATAAATATAAGTGGTAATTTCTAAAAAAAATCATTATTTTCTGTGTAATGGACTCTCAACAATTTAAGGAGTTTGGCAAAGCTGCCGTTGAGTTTATTGCTGAATATAATGATACGGTAAGAGAAAGAGATGTTTTACCATCAGTAGAACCTGGCTATCTTCTATCTCTTCTACCTGAGAACGCACCAGAAGAACCACAAGATTGGCAATCGGTTTTTAAAGACTTTAAGGATACCATAATACCTGGCTTGACTGCCTGGCAGTCACCGCAATTTCACGGGTTTTTCCCATGTGGCAGTTCTTATCCAAGTATCGTGGGAAGCCTGCTAACGGATGGTCTTGGTACCATTTGCTTAACCTGGGCTTCTGGACCTGTTAGCACTGAATTAGAAATTGTCACTTTGAACTGGCTGGGCAAAATGATCGGGCTACCCGAGGAATTCCTCAATTCTTCATTAGGTACTGGTGGTGGTGTTATCCATAGTTCCGCCAGCGAAGCGGTCTTTGTTTGTTTATTGGCTGCTAAAGAAAAAACTTTACGTCGCCTGAAGCAAGACCCGGATTTCAATGAAGATCAGGCGAAGCTAAAATTGGTAGCATACACTTCTGAACAATGCAATTCAGCCATTGAAAAGGCTGGTGTTCTTGGATCTATGAAAATGAGATTACTTAAATCAGATTCTGACGGAAGATTACGTGGAGAAACCCTCAAGAAAGCGATACAAGAAGATAAGGAAAAAGGGCTTATACCATGTTACGTGGTAGCTACATTAGGTACGACAGGCACCTGCGCTTTTGATCCTTTGGAGGAGTTAGGACCAATTTGCCAGGAAGAAAGCATTTGGCTTCACGTAGACGCGGCATATGCGGGTGCAGCTTTCATATGCCCTGAGTACAAATATTTAATGGACGGAGTTAGCTATGCAGATTCCTATAGCTTCAATGCGCATAAATGGTTATTAACAAACATATCCGTTTCCCCAACCTGGGTCAAGAATGACATTGATTTTTTAAATACTTTTGATGTGCAACGAGTCTATTTGGATGATATTAACTCTGAGACAAAAATACCAGATTTTAGGCACTGGCAATTACCATTGGGAAGGCGTTTCCGAGCGCTCAAGTTGTGGTTGGTTTTAAAAATATATGGGGCCAAGGGTTTAAGGGAGCATATAAGGAATCAGGTGAGCCTGGCACAGTACTTTGCGCATCTTGTCAGAAAAGATAAACGATTTGTTGTGGACCCTGAACCATCTATGGGCTTGGTTTGTATTAGATTGGCTGAAGGCGATGATTTGACGAAAACACTGTTGGATAATTTAATTGCGAAGAGGAAAGTTTTTATGGTCACTGCTTTTTCTGGCAGTAAGGTGATTATACGAGTTGCTATTGGCTCTCGGTTTACAAATAAATCCGATATAGAAGTAACGTGGAATTTGATTAAGGCAGAGGCCGACATCTTATTTGGAGAATCACCTAAAGATATTTAACCAGCTACTGATTTTCAGGATCAAAAATTAATACGAGATAGTATACAATCATACTTTTAATATTGACTTAAGATATGCTTCACATTTACAAGGACACCTTAACAATGTTTAAAGAATTTTAAGACATCGATCATGTACTGTAGGTACCATAACCACCGCCAGGATTTATCAAATATAATCAAATCAAGTTTCAAATGTCAACGCCTACTTTTGCCTTTATACAATAAACTATAGTTACATAATTATGAGTTTTTATTATCTATAGGTAACCTCCTTAGCATCCATAAGTAGCATGTAGCCAAACTGTCTTAATAGGCAAGTGGGTAAATCGGCTCTTTGTAACCTTCAAACCGAAAAACTTTATATCTTCTCTAGCTTGTGGAATATCGGTTGACAATAAACATTCCTAATACATTCCAATATGTTACATTTGAATGTATAAAGGAACTATTCAAACTTTCCGCCCTCCTTCAACTTCTTTTGAATTTTCTGCCAAACTAACTTAGCGACAGTAGCATCCGAGGTTGTTATTGTATAACTTGCATTAGGGTGCTTATCTTTATAATGCTTAATCAAATTTTGCTTATTGAAGAACTTTTTGACGCACAGATCGCATCCAAACGGCCTGCTATTCGTGTGCGATCGCATGTGATATATCAATCTACTCTCTCGTGGAAATATTTTATCGCACACCATGCATTGGACGTTTTTCTTCTTGTTATGCCGTTTCATATGTGTTTGCATGTTGTGTTTGAATGTGAACCCCTTTTTACATATATCGCACTGAAAGGGTTTCTCACCAGTGTGGCATGATAGGTGACGTTTTTTGGCGCTCGCGTTGTCAAATGTTTTGTCGCATTGATCGCATTTGAAGGTCTTATTCCCGCTATGTCGGAGTATATGTTGAACTAAGGCGGACTTATATTTAAGTGCCATTCCACATATGTTACATTCAAATGGCTTCTCTGTGGTATGTCTACGTAGATGACTTTTGTACAAATGGGTCTTATCAAACTCCTTGTCACACATCTCGCACTTTATAATCGGTTTTTTGCACCGTTTATTTTCGATATGTCTACTCAAGTTTCGTTGATCGACAAAGTTCTTATCACAATTGTCGCATGTAAATGACCTTAGGTGGATTTCTTGGTGCTTAAGTAAGGCAGATTTCCGTTTACATCCGAACGGGCATTGTGTGCATTTGAATTTACCGTCCGAATCGTGTTCGTTTATATGCGCGTAGTACTTTTCCCGATTCGGGAGTTTTTCTAAGCACATATGACATTCTAGATTCTGTTTTTGGTGGGTTATTTTGTGTTCTGTCAAAAATTGGGTTGTGTCAAATCCTCTATGACATGCGTCACACTTATATTTGCCATTGGACACGGCGTTGGCATTCAACTCTTCGTCAGCTATAATAAAAAATGCATTTAAGTTTCTTGTTGTTTTTATTATTCTCTTAGCTTTTGCGTATATTCTTCGCTCGCAAGTTAAAGCATCATGTAAGGACTAAGTGAGGTTGTTCTAAGAAATAGACACGAATTCCGAAACATCAAAATATAATAACCTTGAATTGAGATCTTTGTGACAATTCGACTATTTGTTGTAATTTGACAGTGACATTGCATAATATAATGTTGATTGTCATTTTACATAATAACTGTAATGTAAGTAAATAGTAATAATAATTAAAATTACAAGTCTATAATTAATTAATTTATTGCATTCATTCCCACATTTGGTATATAATTAATTCATTTACATAAAGTAAAACTTAACAGCTAAAACAACTATTACCATCACTTTTTATATTGCTAAAATAACTGCAAGAATTGGGAGATTTTTTTAAAACTATTTGCTACTTAGAAGTAACTTACAGAATGCATTTGGTGCAATCAGAGCAAAAACAAAACACGATAGAAAATAATAACAACAATAATTACATTAATTATTCTAGTTTCTAATATAATCCAATATACAAGCTAAAAATAGATATTTAAAAACTTAGAAATAAAATACAATAAATTATAAAATCTTTAACAAAGTTAAATATCTATTAATTTTTTTTTATTTTTGGATATTGCATATTTCTCTCAAATTTACGACCCCTTCGTTGCTTCATAGAACCTCTTCTTTCGATAATTTTTTCATTAGTTTCTCCCATACTTGTTTAGCGACTGTCGCGTCGGTGAACTTCGGCTCATACTTTTCGTTGGGATGTTTTCTTGAATAATGTCTCAATACATTGGATTTATGTGTAAATTTCTTGCTACAAACGTCGCACTTAAACGGTTTGCTATTCGTATGAGATCGCATGTGATAAATAAGCCTACTCTCGCGCGGAAAGACTTTAAAACATAATTGACATTTAAGATTTTTCTCCTTCGCGTGCCTTTCTAAATGACGCAGCATGTTATGTTTGTGCGAGAATTTTTTACTGCATCTGGGACACGGGAATGGCTTTTCGCCGGTGTGTTTTCGCAAATGCGGCTCTAATAAACCCCTGTGCGAGAAGGTTTTATTGCAATAGGTACATGAGTATGGGCGTACGCCACTGTGCAGTTGGATATGCCGCGCCAATGTCGACTTATGCTTGAAGAACATAGAACACAAATCGCATTGAAACGGTTTTTCTGTTGTATGCTTTTTTAAATGGCTCTTCAGGAAGAAGGCTTTTTCAAAGACCTTGTTACAGACAGGACACGTGAGATCATGTTTATTCTTGCAAATACCCAATTTTTGGTGCCGCGATAAATTTGCTTGGTGTGTAAATTCTTTGGAGCAGTGATCACATTTAAAAAATGGTATATCTGTGTGAAGTTTTTTGTGGTTCTGTAAATTTGAGAAGCTTTTGAATCGCTTTCCACAGATAAAGCAAGAATAATTCCTATCGTGCGAGAGTAGGTGGTCGTTGTAATCTTCCACTTTTTCGAAACGGAGATAGCAAACATGGCATTCAAGTCTTTCATGACTGTGCAAAATTTTATGCATGCGCAAATGAGATTTTTTTAAAAATGCTCTTTGACAAAAATCGCATATGTTCCTAGCTTCTTTCACGGCATTTCTGTTTAAGTCTTCCTCTGTCACTAGAAGGAAAATTAAGTCTAAAAATATTTTTGCCACTACCCACATTACATTGTAATAACTTAACTACCCTAACAGGAGCGAAGATAACGCAAAAGCTAAAGGAAATTTGCCTTTCGGAATTCAAAAGATGTGCTCAGTAACTAGGGCTTACAAGCTTAAAGAAAATTTTTCAATGATTTTATATATAATAAGTACCACTTATACACTTTTGCCTAGCAGAATGATTCTTAAGAAGGGTACCGAACTTGAAAATTCTTTTAAGAATTATAAATTAAATTAATATTATAAAATATTTAGGTAACTTACCACCACAACCAAGCATTGGAGGACCATCTCTAGCATCTAAGTCAGGTAATATGAAGTCATTTTCCTGAAAGATAAGTATTATATGAAATTAAACTACGTACAACCTATTGACCTATTGAGCGTCTAAGGCGGCCCCTAGACCTACAATAACATTGTACAATATATTTAATTGTGCAATGAGATTGAATTGCGTTTTGAATCCAAACGGTCAATTATATTGCACAATAATAAGAACTGTGCAAAATGTGCAATGTTTTCTTGTTCAGTCGGAGAATAGTTTGATCCCGAGCAACATGTCCACAGATTTAGCTGCAGCTATAGTGTTATTGCTTGTGGCTAAGCGTAAACGAACACGTCGTTGGTCGAAAGATTGGTACACGAAAAGGCCAAAATACACTCACGAAAATCACTTAAAAGACTTGAAGTTAACTGAGAAAAAGACTTCAAAAATTTTGTATGACTGGACTTGGAACAGTTTCAAGTACTACAAGAATTGGTCACGCCATTAATTGAGAAAAAAATACAAACATGAGGGAAGCAATACCACCTTTTCAACGGCTTGCAATAACATTACGGTATCTAGCTACTGGGAATACTCTAGAAGATTTAAAGTTTCATAGTGCTATTTCCCCACAAAGTCTTTCCCTAATAATTATGGAAACCTGCTTAGGCATAATACATGTTTTGAAGAAATTAATCAAGGTAAATAAAGACATCTTTTCATTTATTTGTTTATTTATTATTTAATAAACATTTATTTATTAAGCTTTATATATTGAGACATGTCATTAGCATCATTTTCCTGTTGAGAATTGTCCATGTTCTGCTGATTATCCTGTTGGTAATGTGGCAGCTCCTCAGGTGGATTTTCAGAATAGCGAGGCGATGGCGTGCTGTTGTAATTTGTTGGAGTTGGCGTGGATCTGGTATATGTCGGATATGGAGTTATTGTTACTGTTGGAGTATTTATTTTAACCGAATTGCGATGTAAAAGACCTAATTGTCCTTCCATGATAATGGCAGCAATAGCACTCTTAGCAAAGATTTGTTGTGTTGGTTCCATTTTCTTTAAATCTGCAGCAGAAAACGCAGCCCAGTTTTCATATTCGTCTGGCTTCTGTCTAAAACGGTTAACTGCAAGTTGCATAAAGTCATCATCAGATTTCCTCTTTAATTTTTTATCTTTTGTCTTCGGAACTGCATAAGATGTAGTTGGTACTTGATCAGCTTCAATGGTTGAACTATTTTCCTGAAAAAGATAAACAATTTGTTATTTTGTTTTCAGCTACCACAAGCTGCCGAGGAATGGAAAAAAGTTGCCAAGGATTTTGAGAGTCAGTAGAATGCCCCTCATGTAATCGGTGTTATAGATGGGAAACACGTGGGAATAAAGAAACCTCCTGGTTCTGGATCATACTACTATAAAACATTCAGTATTGTGTTGATGGTGTTTGTAAATGACTTATGGACGTGTATCAGATAGAGGTGTGCTGCAGAATACAACATTTGGACAACAATTAAAAAATAATTCTTTAAATATCCCACCACCTGCATTGTTGCCTGGAAGTTCCCGAAAGCTCCCATACTTTTTTGTTGGGGATGATGCCTTTCCAATGTCTCAAAATTTACTGAAACCGTAAAGCCAAAAAAAAGAAAAGAGAAAAGAGAAAGAATATATAACTATCGGATATCGCGTGCTAGAAGGATGGTTGAAAGTGTTTTCGGTACTAGATACTCGTTTTGGAGTATTTCAAAGAGCATTTCCTTTTGATCCTACAAAAATAAGGAAAATTGTTTTGGCTTGTTGTTATCTACACAATTTTTTGAGGAAATCCCGTTCCCACTTATCTCCATCATTTATGTTTCGTGAAGATAACGAGTCAGAAATAATACCATCAAAGAAAGTATTTCAGTTGACAGAATTGGAGAAAATCAATAAAAAAAATCACTGAATATCGCAAAACAAGCACGGGACGAATACAATGGATTTTGTAATAACGAAGGTGCAGTTCCCTGGCAAGAGAAAATGGTTTCGTAAAACATACCTACAACTTTATGTATTCATTTAAATAAAATAAATTAAAATTTACCTGTGTATAATTATTGTCCAAATTAGAATGTTCACTCTCTCCTCCCAGACTACGTATAGTAGACTGAGTATCCATACTAGACTGTGAATCCGATGCGGTTTCCTGATCTTGTAAAAAAACATTTAATTAAAATACCATAAAGTAGGTTGGTATAATATGTCGTCTGTGCCAGATCCGGATTTCATCGACTGAAGCTGTTTCTTGAGTTCCTTCCGGTAGTTGGTTCTCAAAGAATTGAATTTCTTCTTCACGTCATCTTTGCTTGCCTCAGGAAACATCTCTTTATATTTAGACAACAATGTTTCGTAATCAGCTTTTTTTTTATCACGGTAATGATATTCTTTGCTTTTGACATACCACAAAGACGACAATTCTCTGTACAATTGGATACTTTCGACGATAAACTCTCTTTCCTTAACTTTCGTATTATCTTTTTCTGCCATTTTTGGGAAGCGTGCACGCGTGTGTCCTCCTTGCCGACGAAACACAGACTAAAAAATATTGCGCAATACTGACCCTACACGACGCAATGGAAAATATGGTGCAATAAAAATTAAACTCGCTCAAACTTTCGTTCAATCATTGAGCAATCTTCAATATTACCCCTAGAGTCTAGTCTAGGTCCTAGACGATTAATTATATTGCACAATTTTCAATATTGCGCAATTTAATTGATCGTCTAGGGGCCGCCTAAGTGCAGAAACTGAGTCCACAAACCATAACCATGACTATTAAACAAAATTTGCTACTTAAAGATGCCCTTCAATGATTGTGCTTTTAATAAATATAACAAGTATTTCACTTTTTTAAAGAGTGTACACACACAAAAAATTTTGAACATAATTTAAATACTAACCATGAGGTTGAAATTTGATACCCCTATTAGTGTACTTATTTTAAATCTTAGTTTTTTTTAAATATTCGCTTATAATAACATTTCATGCAAGTGGCATTGTTACTTAATATTGCTTATAGCGGCTGCACTGGTACTTGATTGGTTAAGCTACAGCTGCTATTTCTTAAATTATACTAGACATACTTAAATATTCACAAAATACATGTAAATTTAATATTAAAAACATCGGACCCTGACAAAATTTACAAAACTGTTTTAGTAATTATCTTACACATGCCTCGTTTTCTATTATTGTGAAATAATATACTGTTTTACAAATGCTGTAGGGAAGATTCTTTAAGTGACTGTCGGCCATTAATGCATACAATATACAAACCTGAGGTTCATCCTTCACAATTGATGTGTCAATTTCAGATTTAACATCCACAAAGTCTATATTCATCTGTAGGGCATCTTCTTCTGTCTTTATCTCTCCTGAGCAGCCACTGAAAATTATTTATGAAACTATTAATTACATATTTGGTTTGTTTAGTCCAGCCAACTCTTACATCTTATATTTCTGCTCTGCCACGTAATGTGAACTCATCATCTGTGGATGATAAAATATTGATCATGAATTATTTTAGATTTAGAGCTTTAAGTAATTAATTATTAGATTATGATTTAATCAGTGTAGTGATCAAGTAACGTACTTAAGTGAAGTTACTAACTTTCAAACCATTTCAGACTGCCCAAAAAATTTTGTTTTACTTTGATATTGTAGATGGTAAATAATACAAAGGAATATTACTAAATAAATTGAGAAGAAACAATATTACCACTAATGTGTTGAACTAAATTTAACTGAACGGTTCAGTACCTTAAAAGCCGCATCAAATTACTTCTAACTGTAAACGATGAAACGTACCAACTCCCAACCAACATAAGTTTTATTATGATCGATACGACAATTTCGACGTACGGATAACACCTACCTCTAATATAAAACCCGAAGTTCTTTTTTCAATTACAAATTATAAGAGATGTACAATAATAAAAATACTCACTTATTTTGGTCGTCTTGTTCATCAGACTTTAGTTCTTCGGCATTTTCATCATAGTAATACGGTTCAACTTTTACTGTAATAGTTTCAGCCATTTTCGTTTATAATATTATAATAAAAACTTTGCTAGAGGTCTACATTTATTGTTAAGAATATCACATAGAAGAAATTATACAATCACAATAAAACGCCGGAAATATTAATGTAAATTATAAACGCTTGACGCCATTCACAGTAGGTACCAGACTTTTATTTCTCTGTTTGATCTTGCAATTTGACATCGCACAAAAATGTTACATGTGTCGCTGTCAAATCCGTAACCGTGAACGTCAAAACAAAAATATGGATTCTGATCTAACGCTAACTTTGATGAGTATTTCCATACAAATATTATAAAGAAGAAAGATTTGAATTTATTATTTATTATTTTTGCATGCTATGTAACGAATAAATTCAAATACTGTACTAACTTCAAAAATGATTTCACTTTTAGAATGCGCCATTATCACTCAGTAACTAGTGCTAGGCAGGCTACTTCTAATAAATTAATTGCCGATATTTGTTTTAAAATAAGTGTTGTTTGCCATAGGCTGGGTTCCCACTATGCCGGACCGGCAGATATCCCTGTCCGGTAAAATTGCCGGAAGGCCTATTGGCTGTACAAATTGTATGAAGCTATTCAGATTATCCCGAGTCCGGCTTTTTCGCCGAGCTCGGCATTTTTACCGAGCGTTTTGTCACTACAAAATGCCGGTAAAATCACCGGACCGGAGTTATGAGAACCAGTTTCGGCGCACTTCATTCGGCTCGCATTTTCTGAGTACAGTAGACGTGTAGCATGATGAACGACAATCAAATAGAAACTTTAATTAAATAATTGAAGAACTTTGCTCCGTCACTTCTAAGTTCACCCATCAATGTTTCAAATGTCCCAAGTGAAAATCTTTCCCGTAAAATAGGATGTACCCAATACTTTCTTCTTTTATTTTGCCTTCTGTACCACCACCACCACAACAACAATTTCGTCGTCCATTTTGGGCACTGGTCCTAATTCAACTGAGGTGCTTGTCCTATTTTCTTGTGGGGCCCGGTGTAATGTGAACACTCTGTCCGGTGTCCGGTTTCCGGCAGATCTGCCGGTCCGGCATAGTGGGAACCCGGCCATAGTCATTTTGTATGCTGATTTGATATTTTGAAAAAGTACCGAGAGTTTTTTACGCCGGCTTTTTCTCTCAGTCTGCACCCTCTGGCTTCTTTGCCGATGAGTGGGGATGTCTACCGATACAAATTTCATGAAGTGGAATAAGTGATACCTGTATCTATCTTATATTCCATAATAAACATATTTCATAACTGGCTTTATTTATTTATAAGTCCTAAAACAACAATGTATGCGTAAAATATACATCACATATTAGAACATAAACATTTCAAACTAAACTTAAGGCTGGGGATACACATGCCAGTAAATCGGGAAAGTAGATGGTATGAAAGTTACTGGTATGTACGAGTAACTGGCACACTGCGGATACATTTGCAAGTAATACTGGCATGCATACTGTGCATGCCAGTATTACCATCGCGTATACACAGGACAGTTCGTGAGAGTATTTCGTACCTACCTATTCTTGCGCGCTAAACATGTTGTTACTAGCAATTGAATGTGTAGCTAAATTAATGAGAGATAAAAAGAAAAAACGAAATCGGGTTTGGGTAAGAGATTCACACAACGAGTCGGCTACTGGCATGCCCGTAGCTGTCGCGTCTGTTCACACGTGCCAGGTTAGCAGTCCCCCCCGCGCCCCTCCCTCAACGGGCATGCAAGAAAATCAAATGTTGTGCTAGCCACTTGCAACTAGCTAGCTTCCAGTTACAGCCATGCCAGTTAGTGAATACACAATGGATGGATAGTCAAATATATTATGTTAAATAAAACTCTTTGTTTGAAGCTGGGTGTCGACTGGCTTTAATCGTATAAAATATGAGCTTAGAAATAACTTAAAAGGGATAGTGGAGTTGCGACGCTTCCAAAAAACTAACTTGCCTTATTTAAGAGTTTTTCAAAATTAGTGAAGTCGATCTATTGGACATTATCGGAAACGAGAATGTCATATGTATTACAATTTATGAGTAATGCGAAAAACTAAAGGGCACATTAATGATTACTTAACTAACGTTTTACAATTTATTGGCTACAAGTGTACGATGATTGCTAACATTTTAGGCCGGGAGATAGTGACACAAAATAGTGGGTCATTTGTATCAGTATGGTGGTTCTTCAGGGGTCTTATTACGAAATGAAAAGAAGAAAAATGACGGTCATAGAGCTGGTACCGGCGGTCCAAGCGCGTGGGCGTTAGTCGAACTCGTCGGATTAATTACGACTTTCAAACGATTTGTTCCACAAAAATTCTAGTATTTTCCGATAGTCCATAAAAAATAGGACGCGGCAGTGTCATGCCATACTTCTTCGGTGTGACTTACAGCCCGCCATACCGACGCGAATGCGTTGATTAAAAAAAAATTCAACTAGTACCAGGCTAATTTTTGCACAGTTAATCATCGTCGTGCAGCCATTTACGAAAATCACCATGCCATACTTTTCGGACGGTTCCAAATGTTACCCACGTATTCCTAAGAATAACTTTGTTAGCCCGATTCAGGATATTGTTACGACCTAGGGGATCGGATAGAAACGCCGTAGATTTCTTCAAGGGTTTATTTTCAATTAAATCTACGAGGAATTTGTTAACACTAAAAACTGGAAATTACGCACAAAAATTCACTAAACACACACACAAAATACTGTCACTAATTACTTTAATTACACGCACTTCCCACAGTGCTTTATCACTTGTCTTCACTATATTCGCACTTTGTCACTTCGGTGTTTATCTCTTGATATCGCATTCAAAACTGAACTAATCGGTCGCGTTTCGGCTCGCTTATATATCCCTGGGAATAGTCTTGAACGATGTTCGAGAACTCTCTAGGCGGGAGCGCTACTGAGTAGCGATCGCACAATTCTAGAACGTGCGTACTTGCTATCTCTCTTGCACATTGCTCCGTCCTTGTCGTACGGTGTTCTAGAGTGCTCGGTCTAGCTTCGAGAAGGTTCCGATCTTCCGTCTCTCTCTCGTATCATTCTGTCCTTGTCCCACACCTAGAAAATTCGTTCTAGAATATTCCTTCGTCAATGGGGTATAACCAGGCCTGAAAACAAAACGGATTTCCTGAAAAGTGTACCACTCGACTACACTTGTTCTGAAACTGTCTGAAAAAATGTTTCAGCCTCCTGAAAACTATGGTAACATTTTGTAAATTACGATTTTCTAATATGTGATTGACCCTCTCCTGAAACGGTCAGAAATCACATTTCAGCCTGCTGAAAAGTTCTGTAACTAGTGGAAAAATCTAGAAACATTGCAGTCGACCCGTCTTCGTAACAATATAATGTCATCGAACTAATTGTAGGTACAACTAATATATTTATCTCCATAATATAAAAGAAAACGTTTAGCGGTACAACGTCGAGACTGGCCGATAGTTTCATATACTTAGAGAATTTCTGGGTTTATTTATTTTAACTTTACTAGGTTATTTTCTAAAATTTTGCCTTTTACAAATCTAACAGATTCTTCGTACTTTCTTAGTTTATTGGCATTATAAACCATACGTTTTTAAGCTAAATGCATGAGTAATATTAATGTGTGTTTCCTGAAAAAGTGCAAAGTCTTCACTGTGGGAATGTAATTGAACTTCATACGGCAGAAATCGCGGCTACCACCAAATTGTGATTTTAAAATATCGTCTAGTTACAAAATTGCATCTTATCTATTTTGCAAAGTCAATTAATTTTCCACGGCACAATTTCCGTGTGTTTTAATTGCAACTCAATTAACATAAAAATAATCACATGGTTTCAAGCCAATATGAAAACGTTGTAGAGGATGACGAGTGTTTTATATTTATATGATTTATTTATTTCAAAAAGATTAGTCGAGATATGTAAGTGAAACGTTGATTGGAATTTGGATAAAATTTTAACCTGCATCTTTTCTCAGAGAAATTGCAAATAAGGCTATATTCCTTACTTTATTTCCCCAATTTTATGACGTTAGTTTTAGTGTCATTGCGTTACTAATAATTAATCCGTTCAACTTATAATTAAATTGTAAATTTATTAAATTTTAATGAGACTTCCTGTTTTGAAGGTTTTGTTTATTTGTGTCTGCTTGACTTTACAAGATCACGCCAATTTGACAGAAATGCATACAAAGAGCTGTAAGTATATATAACCAAATAATACTATTACATTTTTTAAAATTCCCATTATATGTAGGATTTAAATATGTTTAGAACACGGGGATTAAACAGGAGAAGACATGCCCATCTTCTGTCTTCTATGTAGTGTGTACTGGACCGAAGGTTTTTGAGGGTAACATGCCGGTGAGTTCCCGGTAGAATTCGAGAGAGACCCCGGAGCATCTGTAACGCGGCTTTGGTTTTTGTGGTGGTTTTAGGGGTATTGCTCATCCTCTGTCTCTGAATAGCAGATTCTGGTGTGGGTCGAGTCCCACATACCCCTGCAACTGTCTGGGGGCTAGGGATGTGCAAGCGCATTTCTACCTGGGATATCAAAAAAAGGATTTTAATATGTAACAATAGTCTACAATGATATTAATGAGGTTCTACTTTTTGAACTATTATTTTAGAACACTTAAGTGTGTACTTAAAGGACGTTTCGACATATAAATAGTCCTAGCAGGTATAGCTTAAGTTGGGTTTAATTCATATTTTATATTTAAGCTTCTATTAGTAATCGTCTCATAATGTTTAGTAGATAATATTTTAATGTTACTTCGTGTTTCCTTACATTTCAGGGGTACAGCTCTAGAGGACTACGGCCATGTGAATCGCCCTAAACCTGCTGCTGAGCGTTGGTATGATCCTTATTGGGAGAATGGACATTGGGTGTTCAATAGGTATTTTAGTGTACACTTTACGCACGCACTCTAGTCACAGGTTATAAAGAAATGCCCTGTATTTGTTTAAAACTCAATGTCAATTAGTTAGATTCTTTACATTGAGTTTTGCATACCCGAATTGTTACGCAAATTCGGCGTGAAATATTGGAAAATATATTTCAAGCCTTTTTTGTTGTACACAAATATTTTGGCAACTAAATGATTAAATTGTAAAAATAAAAAATCAGTGACGCTACAACCTTTTTAGGTCTGATTCTTTTTTAATTGATCTGGTCTGTAGATTTCTGTATCTGTTTCATGATCATTGGTCAATCTATAGGCTAGTAGTTGATCAGGCTTCTGTGCTTTACACATGCCATTGACTTATTGTGTCTAAGGCAAGCCGGTTTTCTCAAGATCTTTTTTTCACCGTTTGCAAGCAAATACGCAAGAAAGTCCATTGGTGCACAGCCGGGGATCGAACCTACGACCTTAGGTATGAGAATCGCACGCTGAAGCCACTAGGACAACACAGTTCTGTTAATTTAAATGTAACTTATGTTTAAAATTCGAATTTATTTAAACAGAGTTAAGATGCAGTCTACTGAACACCCATTGGGACACTTTTTGCAAAAAGGGAAATCTACGAAGCATCACGACTGCAATCAAATTTGTTTAGGCATTTATGAAACGTAAGAGTAATTTGCTAAATCGTTGTTTGAAGCTATATAAGTATATATAAACATACACACTATATACAGACAGTACGTTGCTATTAATTTCCAACACAAACATATATATATACAGTATTTACAATATTCTTATTTACAAGGTACTTGTTTAATTTAATAAAGTTTTTTGAGTTAGAGGTTTATAATAATTAAAAATCGATGAACCGCCACTCTTTTTAATCGCCAGTCATACAAATTGTTTGAACCGGAGAAAATCAATACCAAAGATTAGGATCATTAAAACAATCGTCAAATTTATAAAAATCTTTATTGATTAATTTACGTTTAACGAGAGTTTTGAATTTATTCAGTGATAATTCTCTAATTTCGCTTTTGTCGAGTTTGTTGTAAAAACGAATACAATTTCCATATAAGGAGTGGTTAATCTTGCGGAGCCTGGTTGGTCGTACGCTTAGATTTTTTCTGTTTAGATTATTATACTGGTGACTGTTTCAAAATAGTTCCTGATATGAAGCAGTGAAAATATCAGTGTATTTTAGTTACGGTGAGGTTTGCGCTCAACGCTTCGTGACTCGCAAACATAGATGGCGTTATGAGTATAAACAATTCCACAACATGTGTTATTTGGAATACGAAAATTGTAAAGAGTTAAATAAACGTAAGTGTATGTTTCTTATAAATAAGAAGAGATCGCTAAAGGTCTTAAATGGGTAGATCGCGCCTATTTTTTAATTACCCTGCAAATAATATTAAAAACTAATCTATAAATACCTAATATTTCCAACTAAAAAATTGTTGGTTATTCATTAACATAAATAGATTTTAGGCACAGAAGACTGATAACCCACTTGCCTCTAAGAAATGATCAGGAAACGGAGAAAACTGAGGCCCAGATTTAGAAGGTTTTAGCGCTACTGGTTCTTTTTTATATAAATAATTAAAATATAATTTTGAATTGCAGGTTATGGTTTGTATAATTTCTTAATTTATGCCTAAAATTGCTTCTCGTTAAGCCAAAAATGCGATTTTTATAAAAATAAAATTATTACCAAAAAGTTAATTTTTAAATTACCATTTTTTATTTTAAAACTACTAATATTATTATAGGTTGGTATCCAATTCATAAAGGCAACTGCCCTGAGTTTAAGAAAATGACAAAAAATCCCACAGACCCGTCAAAGGCGGCGAAAAGAGTAACAAAATGGATGAAGCGGATCAATGGAAAACAAATTGGAGCCGGAATTGCGGATTCGTATGAGTAAATATGATGTGGAGCGAATGAATCTATCTCTTTCACACCAAGTTGATTTAGTCTAGTTATAGTTAATTACCCTAATAGAAGGAACTTTACAATACTGTTGCCCAGTACTATATCATATATGTAGATAATGTCCGGTTATGACCAATGCAACGCATATTCAAATATTTGTTACTTTTCTTCACTAACCTACTTTTAACACACAATATTTCGACAGCGTCTTTGGAAAAATCATGTTGCTTACGAACATCATTTTAAGAAAGATTTTAAGACTTTTTGTCTAGATACATCATACATAGACAAAAACAGCGACGCATGTAGCGTTATATCAATATAATTATAATATAGTAATTTAATTAAAACAACTTATAAATTATTATTTTTTATTTTATAATTGGCAGTTTTACATAAGCACATTTTTCGTTATAGCTACAAATGGTAATGGCGAATCCAGTTAGTTATCTTAATTCTACGTTTAACAATAAAACAAATAATAAAAAGTGTACAGTATGTAACGGAAACTCAATAAACTGTCTAAAAAATAATTTTAAATTATAATTCAAAGAGGTACGAGTTATCTCACAATTAATTAAATACAACCTCGAAAATTCGATTGCCAAAAAACTTGAATTATCAAAAAAAATCAGCAAATAAATACGTCCTCTGATTTAGCTTCCAAGACTCAAACTTGAGGTCATTCAGCCACAAAGGTCATTGAACCTTTGCTCCTCACTTTGAGGGTGAAAGATCCCAAATTTGAGTATTGGAAAATTGATAGCATTATCATGTTTTATCTAAATATTAGAATTTTCATACAACATGGTTGTGTGTCTCACACGCACAGACTTAAAACATCACAAATATAGACATATAAACAAATAATTAATGTTACTAAAGCTATACACTGCAATAATAGGTATAATACCCATACCGTTATAAACCCTATTAGCACGAAATGAAAAGCAAATATATTCCAATAAAATTGGTTGTGAATGACGCACTGGAATCCTACTAGTTTTTATACGATGCTCGACTAATCACATTCAAGCATTGTTCACAGTTGCAGTATTCAATATATATTTATTACAATTTATTATATTTTCTAAGCTACATAATCTAATACTAAGTACAAATAATATACATCTAAAGCATTTTATGTAAATCATTTATAGTCACTTTCTTACAAGACTAGGGCACTTTAAGTAATTTATCACAAACAAATATTTATAAAATTTTCATTTCGTCAAATGTACAATATATAAATTATAAATAAAGAACTTTTAGTTGGAAAACACAGTTCAATAGCAACACGGAAAGTATGTTGTTTTATTTCGATCAAGGATTGACTATTGTATTTTGACCGATCAGAAAAAGATATATATATATTAATTTTACACTAATGGCCGTATTCCAATTCGTATGTTTTCTTGTCTTGAGTGTACTACATAGGTACTTTAACAGACTTTGAGACTAACTTTGGATTGGTGTTACGAGTTTTATTTCTACAAAAATGCTACATGAAATCTAGTTCATATAAGCACTACCTTTTCTACTTTTCTACAGCAATCATTCTATTAAATGTATTAATTTTTAATATTATTTTGACCAACTTCAAAAAAGTGGCAGCCTATAGCTAGATCTTAATTAATAAATCATTTTTCATTTATGTAAAATTTGCTTTAAATCCAAGCCAAAAACTTACAAGTTTTCATATACATTCCTGAGGAGACATAGACAAAAACAATTTGCGGCAGACGTGACCCACTAAGGGTTAATGAAATTTTATGGGGATCGTCACCTACATATGGGGACATACCTTGGGCTAATGTCATTTCAAACCCAAATCATTTGGGTTAAGTCTATCGCAAAGTATTTGTGTCGCAAGCCCCAGAAAAGAGTTATAAACAAAAAAAAAATATCATATTTGTATTCCAAATAAAAATTTTTTTTAATTGTCTATGGTTTACTCAAGTATAAATAAAACTTCTTTATGAACCTTGTTGACCACTCAAAACGTCGAGTTATGTAAATTTAATCAAGTTGCGCTCGTTACAAAAAATTCATTTTTTTCAATTTTTTTTAGGATTTTGTAAGGATCCAGAAATGAGTTGGATTTAAAGCATTTTCTATAAGAATGATTTATTGTCATTATTAAAAAAGGCTAACTACAAAAGTAGTTCCATACTTACTAGTAAATTGCTACTCGTTACTACGATTATATACAACGATTCGTATGTGTTACATAAAATGAACATCTAAAATTCTCTATAAAACCAGGTTTAAAAATGGACATATGTATACAACATAAATATTAAGGCATATTTATAAGTATGGGAGATTTACACGATTTTGTGTCTTATTCAAGTGGCTCAAAGTCCATATTCCCACAAAAGTCTGCCAGGAAATCGAGGAACAATGTGAATTTTCCTGTCGATGATCGACTCCATTTCGATGATACACATTTCATGCACGTGGACAAGTTTTCAAGGATATTCTGAAGAAAAATTTACTCGCTATATTACGCATCTTACACGATTTTTTGTTTAATTAGATTTAACCTACTATTGATTCATAAATATTATCTCTATACTTTATGCTTTGAATGTACCAAGAAATAATTGTAAGATACCCAGTCACATAGGGCTCCTAGTATGGGGACTAGCGTTAGAATATTTAGATATAAATAAATTGTCTTTATACAAGTATATAGAAATATAAATAGTCACCAACATAAGTATATTATGTTAGGTAAGTCGCAAAATAATTATCTATATTTAAATTATAAGTCAGAGAGTAATTAAATAAACGGAGTGGAAAATAACGTTATATATCAAAATCAATCAGTAATTTAATACAATATAAAACAAATAAAATATATTTTTACGTTAAACTATTTATATGAAATCTATTCAACACTTTGAGCTTCCAAAATCTCTATATAACAGATTTTCGAAGGACCAAAAAATATCCAGCTTGAAAGTCCAAAAATATTTGCGTAAAAATTTTCATTTCTATACATTTGTTATACATTAATCTATTTAAAAGTAACCTGCATAAAAAACTTCTTAAAAGGGAAAATCAAAATTAAAAGACTTTCACTTGAATATTTAATGTAAGACAAAAAATTGTAATAGTTACCTGCGGCCAGTCCTGCCTATACACTGCCAAGCATTGTTCAGTTAAGGAATCCTCACTTAAGTAGGCCTGTTTTAACATGAAAACTAGAACATCTGCTAATGCCTGCCATATATCAGAACTTTTGCGGTTTGATTCACTCATTAACACAATGTTTCGTGGACAAAGGATGCGATCAAAATATTCCAGGTTCGGATCCGATTCCGTATTTGGGCTTTCCACTGGAAATATAAAAAATATCAAAACCTTTAGTTCTATGTATGTGTCGCAGCCAACTAACTTAATAAGCCGTTCAATCAATAGCCTAGCCTCTTAACTAAACAGCGCCGTTTAACTAACGGCCTAAATTAGCCAGATGATCAAACAGCTGATCGATGATGTTTCATAACTTGCTTAGCCTCTTGACTGTTAATTTAAATTTAGTTCCACTTTCTACCACTCTCAAACTAGAAACGAAACTCTTTAAAATGTCAATATGGCGTTCGCAAACCACAACTTTGATGGTGTTTTCCAAAGTTTTTGAAAAACAAAGTATTTACTAATAAAATGAACGATTTGGGTCGTTTTTATACGCAATCTGTTTAGATTAGCGCGTATAAGCGACCAAAGAAAGTCTAAAATTTATAATAGGAACAAAGAAATGGCGACGGAAAAATCATAAAAAAAATATCATACATTTTTGACACTTAATACATATACCTTTACTATCATTTATAACGACATTCCCATTTTTCTCCTTCTCATCATAAATTACTTTTCCAATTGGACCTTCTTCATCAGAAATGGGAGTTGGGGCTCTTTCCTCCCTAAAATCTGTAAACGTGGGGGAAATGCTTGCCCGTCTTTCTGGTACGGTGAGTTCTTGGGGTGATGAAGGTTTTCGATCAGGGCAACAATTGTTCCATATTTTGTGAAGGCTGAGGAGCAATTTTTCATTCAATTGCTCAGGTTTTCTGCTGACTAAAAGTATTTTTTTTATTAGAAATTTATTTATTTTATAATTAAAATCGAGTAAACTCAGTATTTTAAAGTCAATATTTAGATATTATTACAGAAAGTAGGAGGTTCATGGCTATTTTTTGTTATATATTTAGTAAAGTAATTTTTATTTACGCTATTGGGTACCTATATAATTTTGTATAGTATACCCGCACGCTTGCACAGAACTTTGACTAAACAAACACACACACAGAACTAAATAAGTTGAAATTTTATGACACAGAACTTTTGTATTACTACATATTTGGCTGTCATACATATACAATTATACAATCAAGAATATTAAACAATCATTTGAAATGTAGAAGACAAATATATTGGCATATATAAAATTTAGTAATAATAATTCCTAGACAGTACAAAGTTCGACCATGGGCACTTTCGTAAAGTGGTTATTTGCTGGATGATTCCGCAATAATAAAATATATTCTTGCATGTCTTTTTAGTTTCTACGCAAATTATTAGCAACTAATAACAATTATGCACAAATAACAAGAATGAACGAACCTGAAGAACGAATACAGTTTGCTTTTGTGATAGTTATAATAATTATTTTCGACTATATTATTGAGCGAAAGTACTTATGAAAAAAACAAAGTAGAAGCGTGTATATTTCAATTACTTTCCCCTTTTTTATAGTAAAACTTAATAAAAGTAATAAACATTCATGTGAATGCATCATTAAATAAAAATGAACACATCTTTTTTTAAAATACGTTCAATCGCTCTCCTAAATACAAAAGCAAAGTTGCATTATAATTTTTTTTTCATTACAATCGAAAATATCGAAATTTTATGCTTTAAAGTCAAATTTTGTATTGAACAGTGTAATCTATGCTTTTGGGTGAGTTAAAGTTAACCAAAAAACTT